GGTTACCTCTTGCATGGTTTAAGGACTATCTCAGTAGCAGATCTCATATTGTTCAATGTAGTCAAACGTTATTTGAATGGAATAAGATAAGATGTGGTGTTCCACCAGGATCAGTACTAGGGCCAACTTTGTTTTTAACTATATAAATGATCTGCCATCATTAACTGATTATTTCAAATTATTGCTGTTATTTTTGCAAATGATTCTAACATAAGTCATACATATCAAGCTGACCAGTGCGAGATTAATGTGGATGAAGTAGTTTACAACACACAGAAAAACTGGCACATTGCTATAAACAAACTTCAACTAGTTCAATGAAACTTATATCATGTTCATAAGTAGTATGCGTAAAAACAGGTATAAATGGTAAACTGGAAATAGCTTGATAGGATATCAAGGAGGTTGATGTTGTCAATTATGATACACGTCTGCCATGGAATAGTCATATTCGTTATGTAAATCAGTGTATCAGGATTGCAACATTTTATTCTTAGGCGTACTTTGACATTATCCATTATCATATAAAACGTGGATAAAACCACACAGGTGTGGGGAAGCAATATTAGGTTAGCCTATTAAGAAGCATATAGTATTCACAGAAAATGGCAGTTCGTGCTTTTTTCAATTTCAATTTCAATTTCAATTTCAATTTATTTGCTCATAAAAATCCAGAAAACACATGCAAACATTCATAAATCGACATGATACAAAGGGTAAAATTCACAAGAAAAATTAATAACAAAGTATACATTTGGATTAAGTATGAGAGGGACAGCAAGAAAGGAACAAGCCTTGTGATTAGCTGACCCTGTAACATAATACATTAAGGACGCTACAAAAAATAACAAATCACTTACAACAACTTAAAGGGGGGGGGGGGTATGCCTATACATTTGCATTGAGAGAGTGAAGAACTCATACAGCTTAACTACTCTCGTGTTTGATCTGTTTAATAAAAGTTTGCCTCATATTTTGATAACTGTGATATTCTAGAGTATAGCTACTCCACAAGGCAAGCAGAAGATTCTCTTGTGGTCTGTTACTTGGTTTCATATTAATGTCAGATTCTGTTACAACACATTTGTTGAACAAATCATGAATCGAAAATCCATGCAAATAGTCTGTATATGTACACAAATTATCTTTCATATCATCAGTTTGTATCTTGTAAGACGTTGTTAAAGTTATTTATTTTTATGTTATTGATTGTAATGGTAATCAATTTCTTTGTTTTTGTTTTGTTTTCTGAAGGTAACTTGTACAAAATACATGGTTTAGCTGTAAGACGTTAGGGTTGACTAGCACATATGCTATTATTCGCCCATTTCACCAACCAATATTTTCTCTTCTTGTTCACATAAATACCGTTGTATGAAATGCATGGTTCTTATTTGCTGTTGGTAAATGAATCAATCGAATACAAAAATCTCATAAAAATTCTTAACATTGACAGGATTATAAAAGTGATGTAGATGTATATGGAAATAAATTAACATCAACTCAAATCACATCAAATGAAATGAATTCAACATTTGAATGAATCCAGAAGGAACCACAGGTGTTAAATTGAACATTTTGTTTATTAATGAAAACAATGAGCTCCTGTTGTATGTAAAGCCAGCGATTTTATTCCAGGGGGGGGGGGGGCAACAGCCGGAAAACGCAACATTAAAGATGTATTGATAGCATTCTTTGATAGCATTCTTTGCATTTAATTAAACTAACACACCTTGACAAATAGCGGGGAATAAAGGGGATCCCTCATAAAAACTGAACATTATTACGTTTTGCGTGAGATCCTTCTCATGCAAACATTTATTACAAAGGGGTTCGTCTTTTATGTTACCTTTATTCCACGTTTATTCTTCTTCATACTTATCAAACCGTGTATGTATACTTTATGTACATATATAAATATTTAATTGCAATGGATTGATTGAAATTTTATGTTATCATGATGATATTCGTTATAGATAGGTATGATAGGCGCTCCTTTGTTATATATAAGTTCATTAATTTTGTGTGAAAGCAGAAAAATAAGAAATCCATGATTGCAAACGTTTGAATAAATCGGTCAAATAATGAAGCAGTTATGAATGTTTGAAACATTATATCTCTTAATCTATATGCGAATCTCAAATTGGCAATCGGGTCAATGGATTGTGATGACTGTATTCGTGGACAATTATTTCGTTTGTTGTGTACACAAATATCAGTATTTTCTGTTTTTCTCCTTAGTGCCTTCTTCCATGGGGCACTCCTACATACAATGTATTATGGATAGCATATTATATTATATATTTTATATGATATGTGTTTTTATTTGTGTTTGAAATAAATTGAATCGAATTAAATTGAATATATTGTGAGAATCTCAGTTTGAAAAGAAATGACATGTTTGCACTACCAATGACGTTAGAATACCAGTCATTCAAAAAGGGCATTGACTGGAACGCGGTTCTATATAGAGTGAGTCATAAAAAATGTCCCACTTTTTAAAAGTTGTAATGTTTGAAGTATGAATATTTAATCATGGGTTTCATGATATTTCTTGATAGAGTTATCCTCCTAGTACATTTAGGTACCATTTTCATTTGAATCTCTGCATGCATGACTGAACATCAGACAATCTTTACAATACTGCCAGATCTCACTTGCGCCAAGTTACTGGGTGAGGTATAAAACAGTGCATTGAACAAAGGCAGTCAGACAGAAACAGACTCACAGACACACGCACACACAGCACACACCTTGACGATTATTTCATAATTTCCCCTTTCTGATTAAGCAATGATTTTTATCAAGATCGCTGAATGTTTAAGTGGCATAGCCCTGACAATATTTCCCTTTAGTACAAATTCACTACCACCATCATGTCATCATCATCATCATTATCATCTTAATCTTCATCATCATCATCATCATCATCATCATGAAGCACAACATCCGCCAATACGCACCAAGAGGACTGCGGCCACTTTTCGTACGAGAAGAAGAATTCCCGACAAAAAGTAACGGTTTGGGTGGTCCTTGTCGGCCTGGCAGTCTGTGTTCAAAACACTATTCTATTCCTCACCTAGCTACTTGGCGCAAGTGAAATATGGCAGTCCTGTAAAGAATGTCTGATGTTCAGTCATGCATGCAGAGATTCAAATGAAAATGGTACCTAAATGTACTGGGAGGATAACTCTATCAAGAGATATCATGAAATCAGCGATTAAATATTCATACTTCAAACAATACAACTTTTAAAAAGTGGGACATTTTTTTTCTGACTCACTCTGTAGAGCTCTCAATGCTTCATCAGTCGAGGGGTTTATACACATATAATTTTGGCAGAAAGACAATAAGTTGCCGAGATTATTACATGTATCATCCGTGTGTGTATTTGGTAACAAAGTGAACGCTAATCAGTATACGCTCTTAGAATTAAGTTGCATGTAGGTAGCTGCTGGTTGTTTTAGAGAATTACCCGATTCTTGGCAATGATTTTAAAACTTCAGCGCCACAGCTTTTGACCATTCTAGGGGCAATTTACTTACAACAGATTCATATTTTATACCATCAAGCTATTCATATTGGGGGTGATATTCTGAAAACTTCTGATTTTCAGAATACTGAATTAAAGATATGTTAAGGGTATTTCAACCCACAAATGAACCTTCAGCAACGCCTTTCTCGGATCCAGTACTGCAGTTTGTATACTATTTGATATGGGCAGACTTAGGTTACTTGTACAGAAGTTAGAATATTTATCCTTGCACTAAGTAAATAGCTGAGATTTTTTGTTCTTTTCCCTGGTTCCTTTTACATTTAAGAAAAGAAAAGTACAATAAAGGGATAGTTTGTCAAAGTCCATCACTATAACAATTATATATTCTGAACATTTTGGAGGACAGTGACACAAAAATCATGAAACATAATATTTTCTTCTTAATGGAATACATAAATAAAGGTGATATTTAAGTAGATCCTCGGAGAAATATAGAAGTGAACCTTATCTTGTAATACGTACTACGAACTAGAAATCAAATACGTACTACGTACTACAAATCCAATACAAAGACATCCACGTGCACCCAGACCAGACAACCGATTACATTATCCACAGTGGCCAAAAATAAGTCAGTTTGGACTCTTTGGAGTCAGTGCAAAGTCGGTTTGCCATGCAGTGTGACTGAGGTATTAATCATACCTCCAAAAAACCGACTTCAAATCGACCGATTCTCGGCGATTCGGGGCAATATAATAGTGTGTCCGGTCTTTTGTCGGTCTGGCGTCTTCTGTTAGTTGAACAATCCGTGAATCTAAATTTCTCTCTTTCATTTGAAGAACTAGTTTTCAAAAAAAGAGGATGTTAGTTTATCTTTTTCACTAACAAAGTTCTGAGAATGTATTAAATATGAGATTATTGCAAATGCATGAATTATGAGCGAAGGGCTCGGGTATGAAGTGCATATTTAAATTAAGAAAGACGAATAGTAAGCACCTTGTTTAATAGCATGTTATAATGACTAATTGATGAAGATATACTGACAAGTTTGGTTTATATCCTGACAATTCTAGAGAAATGAAGCGAGCACTCTACATCAACAGGTAACAGCATTTCACAATCTATAGAGTGTTCAAGGAAAGCGATGATAGAGACCATTTTTTTTTCTCTCCCTTTCGTCTTTCTCTTTTTTTCTTTTTTCCCGCAAATCAGAAACCAGGTATATTTTTGGCAATAGGATTGTATTGTTGTAATACACTGTCCAGTATTGTTTTCAGACTTCTAAAGCCGATAGGGATATGAGTGCAAAGTCCAATTTATGAAATGTTTTCATATAATCACGCTTGATTGCTCCTACAGAATAGACCAAATAGAAAACGCTACTAAAGGGTACGTGCCAATTTACCCAGTATTTCAATGTCACATTACAATAAGTAACATGGTGTTTGGAAAGCACGGTAATATCATAGAGACAAAAACGTTGCGGGTTTGAATTACGTTTAACATGGCGCTGTTTTCAGCAGCAGCAAAAGGAGACGTCCTGAAGATACAATCATTAATCGTCTCAGAAGACAAATCAAAGGGTTCGGGAGGAGTTGATGTAAACTGCTCGGATGCGTCTGGCAAGACACCCCTTCACATTGCTTCGGAAAACGGACATTTGCAAACGGTTGAATGGCTTACCCATCATGGAGCAAAAGTGAATGTAATCGATGCTAACCTACAGACATCGGTTCACTTATGCTCAAAGATAGGCCATCTTCATGTGGTAGAGCTGTTAGTGAAGGAAGGAGCAGATATTGAAATTTGTGACAAAGATGAGTTTACAGCTCTTCACATAGCATCATTCGAGGGTCATGTTGACATTGTCAAATACCTTGTTAGCAAAGGGGCAGAGCTGGAGAGACTTGCTAATGATTACTGGACACCACTAAACCTTGCTTTAGACGGTGGCCATCTAGACATCGCGGAGTACCTTTTGACAAAAAAAGCCAACATTAATAGGTGTGGTAAAGGTGGATGTACAGCTCTACATACTGCCTCACAAACTGGTAACATTGATGGAGTGAAATATCTAACCAGTCATGGAGCTGAGCTGGATAGGAGCACTGAAGATGGTAAGACCGCACTTAGTTTGGCTTCATTGGAGGGACACCTTAACATTGTCAAAGTTCTCGTTAACGAAGGGGCACAGCTTGACAAATGTGACGATATCGACAGGACACCCTTGTCTTATGCTTCTCAAGAAGGCCATCTAGAAGTCGTCGAGTATATCGTGAACGAAGGGGCAGGCATTGAAATTGGTGATAAAGATGGGGTTACAGCTCTTCACATTGCATCATTCAAGGGTCATCTTGATAATGTCAAATACCTTGTTAGGAAAGGGGCACAGCTTGACATATGTGACAACAACTACAGGACACCCTTGTCTTATGCTTCCCAAAAAGGCCATCTTGAAGTCGTCGAGTTTCTTGTGAACGAAGGAGCATGCATTGAAATTGGTAATAAAGATGGGGTTACAGCTCTCCACAGAGCATCATTCAATGGTTATCTTGATATTGTCAAATACCTTGTTAGTAAAGGTGCAGACCTGGGGAAACTTGCTAATGAAGAGGACCACTATGACTACCTTCCCAGTACGTTCGGTAGTAAGGCTCTCCCTAGCTTAATGCCCCGCCCATACTCCCCAACATACGATCCATATCTTACCAGTAAACAAGACAGCTCTAGCTCCTCGAGGAAGAGTATCACAGAAGAGACAAAGATTATAAGTCTGGACGAGTACAGCATCAAGGTTCCAATTTCACCAGACGATGTGGACAGAGCCAAATATATCACAGCAGAAGCATTGACAACCATTCCATCTGACTTAAAGCTGGACAAAGACGAAGTTATCATCTCAGTTGGGCTCAAGCTTTCCCCTCCTGGTCTTCAGTTTAAAACTCCGGTGGAAGTCACGGTCTCGCATAGCGCTATTTTCACCAACCCAGACAAGGCAGAGATTGTGCTATACACCCGAAGGACTGGTAAGATCTTCCTATTACCATAGATCCCATATTTACATATAAATTCCTTTCTCTTGTTGTGACAGTGCAGAGAGCACCTGACTGCCACGACGACCCCATCACAATTATGACAGAGATCTTCACACAAAATTAATTCTACCCTACTTTTCTTGGTATCACATGACCTCGCTTCAATGTTTATATTCCTCTGAGAATGTTTTTATTCACTGAGTTTTGCATGATCAAATTCTATTAGAATAACAATTCACTTAAAGAAAAATTGTTTCAGTCTTTGTGTTTGAATAACTTATAAATCGCACAGTTTATATACAGCCGCTGTTTTCAGGATTCGTTTTGAAAGATCGAAGGGAATTATGAGTATTGATTTAATGCATAAAACATTTTGTTAATAGCCAATCACCAAAAAGCAATTGACATTTTTTAATGTCATTGTTCATGAGTAAAACAATGACCCTCCAACAAGGCTCCCCAGTAAACCCGCAAAAGTTACAAAAATACTTTATTTCTGAAAAGTAAATCCCAGAGTATGACAGTTCACTACGTAACAAAATTAAGACGGTCCCCTTTTTTGTGCCCGTCTTGTTTAAAGGGTCTGATGAATTTTCAAGGATAGTTCCTGCTTCTGACAAAGCTGCTCGGTGTGTAGTCGCAAAGAATCACCTTACTCTGTACTTGGACCATTTCTCGGAATGGTGGATTATTTCCTTAATCAGGAGATACTTCATCGGTAAACGGCTCATCTGTACGCCTTACGTTCCCCTGTCAACATACAGAGATGTGTTAAACCGCATCTATCTCGTCATTAAAGACGACTTCTGCGGCATGAAAGAGGTATATTTATCATAAATTAACGGTTCGGTATAGTTTTAGCTGAATAAGAAGTTGAAGTCCATTTTAAAATTTATTGAATATAAATGAATGTTAAATTAGACAGGAAATCCTTTAGTAAGTCCATGCAACTAAGATATATAATAATTGTTTTTGTTTGTATAGCAAACGCTGGAATTAGGACGGAAAGTTGTTTTACCATGTTCATTGAAATAACTTTTATTTGTGTCCCCGGTCTTCCAGTGGTTACGATGTCAATACTTGTCTAACGTTTTCTGAGTAGTTGGCAGCGTACACGGAGGGGTAGGGGGGGGGGGGGAGGGGACGGGGGCGGTTACACACAATATAAAACAAATCACAGATATAATATTCAAACCCGATAAACGTTTCACATCTTGAAGTAAATATTCAGTGTATTTGATTACCTTCATTTGCTGCAGTACACTGCAGTGCCCTCTGGAAGAGCGGCATTATTGCAACTATAATTACTATATTCTTATTACTATTATTGTCATTATTATTATTTCAATATTGATTCATATATGTTCAACCTTTTGTAGGATACCATACGAGACTACCAGGTAGCCTTTCTTGGTGAGCAGTACTGTGTATATTGGGGAAAAGGACCCCTTTCTGTCAGACATCTGGAAAACAAAGAGGAAGTGTCAAAAGAGGTAACAATCCCAATATAATTGTTACTGTTGTTTCCCCCGAAGAAAATTATCCTGACAAACAAATCATCCGTTACCTATTCTGTAGGTCCTAATATACATCTTTTGCATTACCAAAGATATAGAGATTTCTTAAAGCGATACCGACATTATGAACTTTTCTCTTTAGCGTACTGTTCATTGCACAACACCATCTCATTATAATATAATTTCAGGAAACTCGATTCAAACATGGGTCATAATTCATAAAATAACTTTAAAATTACGACTATGGCACCGTTCCCTATAACTTCGTAGGGTATTAATTGATGGTTATCTCTGATTTTCTTAGGAACTTGAAGAATGTGCTTTCTTTGACATGACTACCCATCGGATGCCGTTCACTCTTCAGCCACGTGAAAAAGTAGTATCCGGAGTTCTCGTCACTCTCATCTTGAAGCAAAAAATCACGAAGAAGATCATCTTTCCAGTACAGTACAACGGTAATGTCAAGAGCATGGATTCCTTTCGGGGGAGGGAGGGGGTGGGGGGGGGGGGGGGGCTTAAAGACCTCCACTGGCAGTGCTGGCAGAGAAGATCGTATTCTGGCGCAGTTTCAGGAATGGTTATTTACCTGATCTTCGGACAAGCTGTAACAAAACGTCAGATTAAACACAAACGTAACACTTCAAAACATTATTTCTTTCAATTAAGATAATTATTAATGAGATGTGTAAGAAAGACGTCCGATTATCCGAATTTTTAAAACGCAATTTCATTGATACCGGACAAAATGCTATTTGGATATTTGGAAAGATTATACTACTGCTAGTACCAGTATGCTAGTGCTTATATTTTGGGCCACCCTGTACACACACACACACATATATATATATATATCATATGCACATTATGTTTACGTGCAATGCTAAACATTTCATTTAGTGTAGCTAAAGCACCATGGCAAGTGACTCCAAGTTGGAATAATTATCATTTTAGGCTAATCGCTTCTCATCACTTTGATATCATGTATTCATGATTTAGATGTGCCGCATGAGAATCCAAATGCCCAATCAACTCCGACAGGAACTGCATCGTCCAAAGGCAAAGCTGAACCAACTGATATTGGACGGAGATCATCCAAATGTAAGATTTAAAGATAAACATTAATAATTTTTTTCCCTTTTTTGTTTTTTCATACACAAACCTTTTGATATGCAGGGCATCGTTTCACTAAACCGTCATGGGTACAAATGAAACAGGAATGTAAAATAACACGCATTCAATGGAATTTCGGTGAGCTTGGTATATGAAACAATTTCCTTATTGTAAAGAGACGATTGGAACGAAATCGAACAACTCACCATATATTTGTGCTATTCTGATTTGATTTTGATTGATTATTGTATCATCAGCATCTCAGTTCTCCGAAGAGCTGACGAGAAGCGAGCATCATGATCTTGAAACGATAGGTTCAACATCACCTGAGCCTACAGACACAAAGGGTAAGACTATGGCCTATCATGAGCGGTTCTGGAGGAATACATATGTATATGGGTTTTTTTTAGGGGGGAGGGGGCAGGAGGGGGGGGGGGGGGGGGTAGCAGGGAGTGGGGTCTTTGTTTTCTACATGTGCTACTTTTAGGGGAAGGGGGAGGGACATAAGAACCGCTACTGCGGCCTATATTCTTGAAATTTGCCTTGCTTTTTTTTTTAATGTGGTAATTGAATGAGGTGGTCGTTATTTTACCTGACTGCTAAGAAAGCATACTGCTTGTAAGTAAGCAACCAGACGGCCGACGGCTTTAGGTCCTCCCGAGGGACCTGGTAATGAGGATTAATGCCTTACCAAAGGGCACTAGCGCATCGACTTGGTTTCGAACCCGGGTCACCGGATCACGAGACCACTGCTCTACCGACTGAGCTATCGCGCCTCAGTTTTTAACTCCTTTGGTTTAAATCATATTCTTTACTATATTATTGATGTATATTTTATATCGTATGATTTTTACTCTGTAAATTGAACAATTTCATCTCAACACTACATGTTCCATGATATTATCCCAATGATTTCAATAAACCAAAATAATACAATATAATTCGACAGTCGACTTGCGATGATAACGGATCAGTCAGATTTCTTTACAGCACAAGTCGGGGTCTGGTTTAATCATTTTTAAAAGCTTTTTTTTTACGTTGCTTTATTTCAGACGGAGGTATTCCTACTGAAGCACTTACAAGACCTAGCCCTTTGACTCCGCCATCGGTAGAGTCACCGCCAAGTGAACATGCCTACCAAGTCACACATGATTTGGTAACAGAAAGAGGAGCAATTGGTAAGGAGCTAAAATATTAAGGTGTGTCCTGGGCTCTGTAACAAAAAAGTCAATTATTTCTCCCAAAAATTTATCTTATCTCCTCAATCAATCGTAACTTTAAGGTGACATTTGATGCTATGTTACATATATTAACGAACGAAATCCTTTGGCAAAACATTATTGTTTATAATTATGCTACACTCGATACATGTGTAATAAGTGGGCAGGTTACCTGAAACGGTTGCTTGAACATAACCGGGATAATAGAGTCCTTGAGAAGCGCATATATATATATATATTGTGATAACACGCTTATTTCATTTACATGCTCTACGGAAATTTGAAAGATATAATCGAATTACTCATATCATCTTTTGTTCGTTTTGTTTTAAGCTTTTTCATCATCGACAGTGCCCGTCCAACCGGTAGAGTCTGCAGCAGAGAGGACAATGGGAGCCCCACCAGGAATTGTGGCAAACATTGTCCAAGAATTGATTCCAGGACTTACAGCAGATCGGAATATGCACCAGCTTCCTGGGAACGTCTATATCAACGTCCAAGGGATGGTCATCAACAACCCCCAAGGGAATAATTCTCAGGGAAATACTGTTGCCCATGCTCCTGTTGCAATTGCTTCCGTAGTACCTCCTAGGCTACAGCATGAGCTGCGTTGCCGGTTGAACAGAGAAAGCCCAGTTTTTGATGACTGGAGGGGTCTTGCCGATCAGCTGGGACTTGGAGACTACATACAATCACTGGAGCAGAGCAAGAATCCGACTAAAGAACTACTCGTACTTGCTGAGAGTCAAAAGAAGATTCAGAAACCTTGGGGACTTGGCCAAGGCGTTCGAACGCATGAATCGTGGGGATTGTCAAGAACTCTGCGAGAACTGTGCGTTTGAGAGAACAAAGTCAGCTGATCCTCGGAAGGATCAAATGGAAGATGATGACACAGATACCAGTGATTAGGGAACATACTCGATCTGTTCCATATCAACCTTTAACCCAGGGTCTATGGCTCATTGTTCCTCAATCTCACTTCTTCGTTCCTGTAAAAGCAAGCAATGTAATAATCTTGATGCAACGAAGCATATTACAAGAGTGGAAACATACATCAAATTTCATGTTTTTCCTTCTTTCCTGTGATTGAGATAACCTACTTCCCTGAAAGTAAGGTATAGAATGTAAAAATGATATTCTACTTCAGATGTTATGAAGTCGGATCAAGAACACAAATAAAAACGAATAAAACGAAAGAATTGTGAAATTTGATGTACAAAAGGCATGGAGAGTTGTCCACAAATGATGTCATCAAATTGAATATCGCCCTCTAGTGACTAGTCATTTCAAAAAGCTTTAACTTCCTTTTTCCTTGCCCGATTTTGTTCAAATTTTCACCGATTTTATTCAAATATCTTAAACTTAAAAATAAAAGTAACTTAGTATGAAGGTTTTGGTTCCCTTTAAGTAAATTAGTGTATCAGGATGAAAGTTGGAGTACTTTGACAATATCCATTATCATATAAAAAGTGGATAAAACCACACAGGTGTGGGAAAGCAATATTAAGAAGCATATTATATTAAAAACATTATATTCGCAGAAAATGGAAGTTCGTGCTTTTTTTCATTAAGAGAGTGAAGAACTTATACAGCTCCACTACTTCATGTTTGATCTGTTTAATGAAAGTTTGCCTCATATTTTGATAGATTACTGTGATATTCTAGAGTATAGCTACTCCACAGGGCAAACAGAAGGTGACCAATTACGTCTGCCAAAATTTAGAACGACACATGGTCGATTTTTATTGTCTCTTGTGATTAGATACTTGATTACCTATAATGTCAGATTCTGTTACAACACATTTGTTTAACAAATCATAAATAAAAATTCAATGCAAATAGTCTGTATGTGTAGAAAAATTATATTTCGTATTATCAGTTTGAATCTTGTAAGACATTGTTAAAGTTATATATTTTATAGAATTGATTGCAATACTAAATTAATTTCTTTGTTTTTGTTTTGTTTTGTAAAGTTTACTAGTACAAAATACATTGTTTAGCTGTAAGGCGTTAGGGTCAAATAGCACATATGCTATTATCCAACCATTTTACCAACCAATATTTTCTCTTCTTGTACATATAAAAATTGTTGTATGAAATGAATAGTATTTATTTGCTGTTCGTAAATAAATCAATCAATTCAAAAATATAATGAAAGAAATAATAAACATTGACAGGATTGTAACCAGAAAAGTGATGTACATGTACCGTACATGGAAATGTATTAACATCAATTCAAAACACATCAAATTAAATGAATTCAACATTTGAAGTATCTAGAATGAACCAGAGGTGTTAAATTGAACATTTTGTTTAAGATAATGAAAACAATGAGCTCCTGTTGCATGCAAAGCCAGCGATTTTATTCCTTGGGGGGGGGGGGGGGCAACAGCCGGAAAACGCAACATTCAAGACGTATTGATAGCATTCTTTGAAAGCATTTTTTGCATTTAATTAAACTAACACAACTTGACAAATAGCGGGGAATAAAGGGGATCCCTCATAAAACTGAACATTATTGCGTTTTGCGTGAGATCCTTCTCATTCAAACGTTTCTTACAAAGGGGTTCGTCTTTTATGTCACCTTTATTCGACGTTTATTCTTCTTTATACTTATCAAACTGTTGATGTATACTTTATGTACATATATATTTTTAATTGCATTGAATTAATTGAACTTTTATGTATATCATGATGATATTCGTTATAGATAGGTATGATAGGCGCTCCTTTGTTATAAGTTCATTAATTTTGTGTGAAAGCAGAGAAATAAGAAACTCATGATTGCAAACGTTTTAATAAATCGATCAAAAATAACGCAGTTATGAATGTTTGAATAATGATATCTCTTAATCTATATGCGAATCTCAAATTGGCAATTGGGTCAATGGATTGTGATGAATTCGTGGACAATTCTTGTTTGTTGTGTACAAAAATATCATTATTTTCTGTTTTTCTCGTTAGTGCCTTCTTACATGGGGCACTCCTACATACAATGTATTATGGATAGCATATTATATTATGTATTTTATATGAAATGTGTTTATATTTGTGTTTGAAATAAATTGAATCGAATTAAATTGAATAAATTGTGAGAATCTCAGTTTGAAAAGAAATTACATATTTGCACACCCAGTGACATTAGAATACCATTCATTCAAAAAGGGCATTGAATGGAACGCGGTCCTATACAGAGTGAGTCAGAAAAAATGTCCCACTTTTTAAAAGTTCTAATGTTTGAAGTATGAATATTTAATCATGGGTTTCATGATATGTCTTGATAGAGTTATCCTCCTAGTACATTTAGGTACCATTTTCATTTGAATCTCTGCATGCATGACGGAACATCAGACAATCTTTACAAGACTGCCAGATCTCACTTGCGCCAAATGACCGGGTGAGGAATAAAACAGTGCATTGAATAAAGACAGTTAGACAGACACACACACACACACACACGCACACACACCAGACGCACACGCACACACACACATGCATGCACACACACGCACACACACACACACACGCATACACAGCACACACCTTGACAATTGTTTCATAATTTCCCCTTTTCTGATTAAGCAATGATTTTTTATCAAGATCGCTGAATGTTTAAGTGGCATATACCCTGACAATATTTCCCTTAAGTACAAATTCACTACCACCATCATGTCATCACCATCATCATTGTCATCATCTTAATCTTCATCATCATCTTCATCATCATGAAGCACAACATCCGCCAATACGCACCAAGAGGACAGCGGCCACTCAACTTTTCCCTAACCCTCTGGCAGTCTTTGTTCAAAACACTATTTTATTCCTCACCTAGCTACTTGGCGCAAGTCAGATCTGGCAGTCTTGTAAAGAATGTCTGATGTTCAGTCTTACATGCAGAGATTCAAATGTAAATGGTACCTAAATGTAATGGGAGGATAACTCTATCAAGATATATCATGAAATCAACGATTAAATATTTATACTTTAAACAATACCACTTTTACAAATTTGGACATTTTTTTCTGACTCACTCTGTAGAGCTCTCAATGCTTCATCAGTCACGAGTTTCATACACAAATAATTTTGGCAGAAAGAGAATAAATTGCTGAGATTATTACATGTATCATGCGTGTGTGTATTTGACAACAAAGTGAACGCTAATCAGTATACGCTCTTAGAATTAAATTGCATGTAGGTAGCTGCTGGTTGTTTTAGAGAATTACCCGATTCTTGGCAATGATTTTAAAAAGTCAGCGCCATAGGGTTTTGACCATTCTAGGGCAATATATATTTCATACCATAAAGCAATACATGTTGGGGTGATTTTCTGAAAACTTCTGATTTTCGGAATACTGAATTAAAGGTATAGCTAGGGTATTTCAACCCACAGATGAACCCACAAATGAACTTTTAGCAACGACTTTCTCGGATCCAGTACTCCAGTTTGTATACATTTGACATTGGAAGACCAAGGTTACTTTGTACAGAAGGTAGAATATCTGTGGATGTTTGAGGTGATTTGAACCATGTGCTAATTACGAACTGGTCTACACATTATTCTACACAGACCGATTTAATTGTTGATGTTTATGTGTGACCAATCCTCTCTAACCTTATATCTCAATCATATAAACGAGACCGATACCAGACTACTCATCACGAAAAATATCCTCCTATTATACTTTTCTCATTCCCCCTACCCGTATTATCCAAATCTCTTTTCAAATTCATCAAAAACTCTAGCATTTTAAACACCTTTCCTCGTACTGGAAAATATACATTTGCAATGTATCATAATTTCTAAATCCTGTTAAATATCTTTCATTGGAATGTATCTTCCAATTTGATCTGAAACTAAAGAAAGAACCTTCAAATCTAAATGTGAATTAATCAACCCAAGAACACCTATTCTGTGTAAAGTACCAGGACTTAAATGACAACTTCCATCTCACATTAAACTCCATATATTTCATATGGAAACGTTTGCTTGTATTTGTCTCATAAAAGAATTTGATCACGAACTGACTCCCACACGGTGTTGAGTGCTCAGGGGTCATAGGCCACTGGCTTCATCGGGCAGGTAGTTCCATTATGTGAATGGGTAAATTTACCTTTACAAAATGAGGGGACACATTACATTGTAAAATAGGGACACACATTGTTTTTATTGTGCAGAACATACTCTTTTATTGACTTACTTATTGCATGGAACTATAAAACCAAAATGCATTTTGTATTCTAACAATTGGAGTACAAAGAATAATAACAGGTGAATGAAATGCATAAACACCACAAACACCTGGGGAGGAAGCATTCATAAATTTGAATACGATGAAACTATAAAACCAAAATGAAAATTGCGTTCTGGCAATTGGAGTACAAAGCATGATAGTAGGTGAATGAAATGCTTCAGCAGCAACACAAACACCTGGGAAGCTAGGAAGCATCCATAAATTAATTTAGTTGATAAACGACTCCGCATGTGGACGTTTGTTGGAGCAGAAAGCAGTGGATTCTTAACAACACGAACCCATTTAACAGAATGTCGGAACGTTAATTAAATTTGGCGCGGTTGGAAAATGCATTTTTCTACCCTGCGACTTTAATGGTACGATCCAGTAAATTAAAACAGTAAAATGGGTCTTAATTTAAAATTACTCATTAAACAAAACCCAAAACTTCAGTGATATCAGAAAAAATATGTTATATCTTACTAATAATTGAAAAAAGATGTATAAACATTGTGAAAGTGTCGCATTTTACGATAAAAGACACCGATTTAGCGAAGATGACGTCATTAGTGCGCTTGCATCAGGGAATTCAAGGTCAAAATGTCAATTCAGACGCTGATAAGTTATTGGTCGAGCCTTTTTGTTTCCTTTATTCCGACAAAATTGTACAATCAATCAAAATAAGTTTGATACCAGAAGAAAGCTAACGATTAGTATTTTCATTAACCGCTTGCCCCAAAGTCTTCTGACCACAGTGAAACGAGTGAGAGCTTGCGAGAGCGGCCAAAGTGTGATTGAAACTCGCTATTTGCTCTTCTCCAACGTAAAAAGAGACGACATTGTGCTGGATAAATGTATTTTTTCCGACAAAAGTACAGAAAATTTGCATATGGTCTTTTTATATTATACTTTATGAAATGTTACCCGAATGACTTCCGGGCGCCCCAATGCTGGAAAGAAACGCACATTTTAGGAAACTTCACTTTTTCATGGAAAAATGCTTATTTGTTCTATGCACGCAAGTCAGATTGAGCGGATGATACAACGTTTCCATATGCTTACAACATAATATCTGCATATTTATCTTTGCACTCAGAAAATATCAGGGATCATTTGTTCTTTTCCCTGATTTCTTTTTCCTTTAAGGAAGGAAAGAAAAGTATAAGAAAGGATAGATTGTTAAAATCCATCACTATAACAATAAAAAATTCGGAACACTTCTCTTTGGAGGACAGTGACATCACAATCACGAACCATAATATTGTCTGCTGAATGGAACAAAAAAATAAAGGTGATATTTAAATATTTATAGTCTCCAGAAGAAAATCCATGAAGAAAATTGAAGTGAACCATGTTTTTGTAATACTACGACAAATCAAATACAAATACATCCAGACCAGACCAGACAACCGATTATATTATCCACAGAGGCCAAACAAAATAGGTCAGTTTGAACTTTTTGGAGTCGGTGCGAAGTCGGTTTGCCAGTGTGACTGAGGGACCGATTCTCGGCGAGTTGGAGCAATGTAATTGTGTCTCCGGTCTGTTGTCGGTCTTGTATCTTCTGTCAGTTGAACTACCCGTGAATCGAAATTTCTCTATTTCATATGTAAAACTTATTTTAAAGAGCGAAGATGTTAGTTCATCCTCTTTTTACTAAAAGATTTCTGAGAATGTATTCAATATGAGAATTATGAAAGTTATGCATTTTGACCAAAGTATGAAGTGCATATGTACATGGAGAGAGGCGAATAATTGGCACTTCGTTAGCATCTTTTAATGCTTAATTGGTGGCGATACACTATCAAATTTGGACATAAATTCTAGAGAAATGAAGCGAGTACTCTACATCAGCAGTTTACAGCATTACACATGTAGAGTGTTAATGAAAAGCGATAGTAGAGATCGTATTCCTTTTCCTTTCTCTGTCCCTTTTATCTTTCTCTCTTTTCCCTGTTTTCTCTCATATTTCTTAGTAATCGATGTGTCTGAGTGTGTGTGTTTGTGTGCGTGGGGAGGGGGAGGCAGGTCAACCTAGCATTGGTTATGGATGAGTCGTAATGAAATATTGATCCGCCATGTTCTTTTTCTATCGCGCAGATCTAAAACCAGGTTTATTTCAGCCCCCCCCCCCCCAATAAACAACAAATAAAGAGAAATTGCAAGGCAATAGAACTGTATTGTTGCAGAACGCAGTACAGTAATGTAGGCAGACTTCTAAAGCCGAATACAGAACTGAATGCAAAGTCCAATTTATGTATTGCTTTCATATAATCACGCTTGAGCGTTCCTTCAGAATAGACCAAATATCATCGCTACTAAAGGGTACGGGCTAATTTACACAGCAGTTTAATGTCACATTACAATAAGTAACATGGTGTTTGGAGAGCACGGTAATATCATAGAGAGAAAAACGTTGTGGGTGTGAATTACGTTAAACATGGCGCTCTTTTCAGCAGCAGCAAAAGGAGACTTCCTGAAGATACAATCATTAATCGACTCGGAAGACAAGTCAGAGGATTCGGGAGGAGTTGATGTAAACTGCACGAATGCATCTGGCAAAACACCCCTTCACATTGCTTCGGAAAACGGACATTTGCAAACGGTTAAATGCCTCACCCACCATGGAGCAAAAGTGAATGTGATCGATGCTAACCTACAAACATCGGTTCATTTATGCTCGAAGAAAGGCCATCTTCATGTGGTACAGATGTTAGTGAACGAAGGGGCAGATATTGAAATTGGTGACAAAGATGGGTTTACAGCTCTTCACGTAGCATCATTCAATGGTCATTTTGATGTTGTCAAATACCTTGTTACTAAAGGGGCAGAGCTGGAGAGACTTGGTAATGATTACTGGACACCTCTACACCTTGCTTTAGACAGTGGCCATCTTGATATTGCAGATTACCTTTTGACAGAAGGAGCCAACATTAACACATGTGGTAAAGATGGATATTCAGCTCTACATACTGCATCACAAACTGGTGATATTGATGTAGTGAAATATCTAACCAGTCAAGGAGCAGAACTGGATAGGAGCACTGACGATGGTTGGACCGCACTTACTTTGGCTTCATTTGGCGGACGCCTTGACATTGTCAAATACCTTGTTAGTAAAGGGTCTCAACTTGACAAATGTGACAAAACCGACAGGACCCCCTTGTATTGTGCTTCTCAAGAAGGCCATTTTAAAGTCGTCCAGTATATCGTGAACAAAGGGGCAGGCATTGAAATTGGCGATAAAGATGGGTTTACGGCTCTTCACATTGCATCCTTCAAGGGTCATCTTGATATTGTCAAATACCTTGTTAGGAAAGGGGCACAGCTTAACAAATGTAACAAAAACGACAGGACACCCTTGTCTTGTGCTTCCCAAAAAGGCCATCTTGAAGTCGTCGAGTTTCTTGTGAACGAAGGAGCATGCATTGAAATTGGTAATAAAGATGGGGTTACAGCTCTCCACAAAGCATCATTCAATGGTCATCTTGATATTGTCAAATACCTTGTTAGTAAAGGTGCAGACCCGGGGAAACTTGCTAATGAAGAGGACCACTATGACTACCTTCGCAGTACGTTCGGTAGTAAGGCTCTCCCTAGCTTAATGCCCCGCCCATACTCCCCAACATACGATCCATATCTTACCAGTAAACAAGACAGCTCTAGCTCCTCGAGGAAGAGTATCACAGAAGAGACAAAGATTATAAGTCTGGACGAGTACAGCATCAAGGTTCCAATTTCACCAGACGATGTGGACAGAGCCAAATATATCACAGCAGAAGCATTGACAACCATTCCACCTGACTTAAAGCTGGACAAAGACGAAGTTATCATCTCAGTTGGGCTCAAGCTATCCCCTCCTGGTCTTCAGTTTAAAACTCCGGTGGAAGTCACGGTCTCGCATAGCGCTATTTTCACCAACCCAGACAAGGCAGAAATTGTGCTATACACCCGAAGGACTGGTAAGATCTTCCTATTATCATAGATCCCATATTTACATATAAATTCCTTTCTCTTGTTGTGACAGTGCAGAGAGCACCTGACTGCCACGACGACCCCATCACAATTATGACAGAGATCTTCACACAAAATTAATTCTACCCTACTTTTCTTGGTATCACATGACCTCGCTTCAATGTTTATATTCCTCTGAGAATGTTTTTATTCACTGAGTTTTACATGATCAAATTCTATTAGAATAACAATTCACTGAAAGAAAAATTGTTTCAGTCTTTGTGTTTGAATAACTTATAAATCGCCCAGTTTATATACAGCCGCTGTTTTCAGGATTCGTGTGGAAAGATCGAAGGGAATTATGAGTATTGATTTAATGCATAAAACATTTTGTTAATAGCCAATCACCAAAAAGCAATTGACATTTTTTAATGTCATTGTTCATGAGTAAAACAATGACCCTCCAACAAGGCTCCCCAGTAAACCCGCAAAAGTTACAAAAATACTTTATTTCTGAAAAGTAAATCCCAGAGTATGACAGTTCACTACGTAACAAAATTAACACGGTCCCCTTTTTTGTGCCCGTCTTGTTAAAAGGGTCTGATGAATTTTCAAGGATAGTTCCTGCTTCTGACAAAGCTGCTCGGTGTGTAGTCGCAAAGAATCACCTTACTCTGTACTTGGACCATTTCTCGGAATGGTGGATTATTTCCTTAATCAGGAGATACTTCATCGGTAAACGGCTCATCTGTACGCCTTACGTTCCCCTGTCAACATACAGAGATGTGTTAAACCGCATCTATCTCGTCATTAAAGACGACTTCTGCGGCATGAAAGAGGTATATTTATCATAAATTAACGGTTCGGTATAGTTTTAGCTGAATAAGAAGTTGAAGTCCATTTTAAAATTTATTGAATATAAATGAATGTTAAATTAGACAGGAAATCCTTTAGTAAGTCCACGCAACTAAGATATATAATAATTGTTTTTGTTTGTATAGCAAACGCTGGAATTAGGACGGAGAGTTGTTTTACCATGTTCATTGAAATAACTTTTATTTGTGTCCCCGGTCTTCCAGTGGTTACGATGTCAATACTTGTCTAACGTTTTCTGAGTAGTTGGCAGCGTACACGGAGGGGTAGGGGGGGGGAGGGGACGGGGGCGATTACACACAATATAAAACAAATCACAGATATAATATTCAAACCCGATAAACGTTTCACATCTTGAAGTAAATATTCAGTGTATTTGATTACCTTCATTTGCTGCAGTACACTGCAGTGCCCTCTGGAAGAGCGGCATTATTGCAACTATAATTACTATATTCTTATTACTATTATTGTCATTATTATTATTTCAATATTGATTCATATATGTTCAACCTTTTGTAGGATACCATACGAGACTACCAGGTAGCCTTTCTTAGTGAGCAGTACTGTGTATATTGGGGAAAAGGACCCCTTTCTGTCAGACATCTGGAAAACAAAGAGGAAGTGTCAAAAGAGGTAAAAATCCCAATATAATTGTTACTATTGTTTCCCCCGAAGAAAATTATCCTGACAAACAAATCGTCCGTTACCTATTCTGTAGGTCCTAATATATATCTTTTTCATTACCAAAGATATAGAGATTTCTTAAAGCGATACCGACATTATGAACTTTTCTCTTTAGCGTACTGTTCATTGCACAACACCATCTCATTATAATATAATTTCAGGAAACTCGATTCAAACATGGGTCATAATTCATGATATAACTTTAAAATTACGACTATGGCACCGTTCCCTATAACTTCGTAGGGTATTAATTGATGGTTATCTCTGATTTTCTTAGGAACTTGAAGAATGTGCTTTCTTTGACATGACTACCCATCGGATGCCGTTCACTCTTCAGCCACGTGAAAAAGTAGTATCCGGAGTTCTCGTCACTCTCATCTTAAAGCAAAAAATCACGAAGAAGATCATCTTTCCAGTACAGTACAACGGTAATGTCAAGCGCATGGATTCCTTTCGGGGGGAGGGAGGGGTGGGGGGGGGGGGGGCTTAAAGACCTTCACTGGCAGTGCTGGCAGAGAAGATCGTATTCTTGCGCAGTTTCAGGAATGGTTATTTGCCTGATCTTCGGACAAGCTGTAACAAAACGTCAGATTAAACACAAACATAACACTTCAAAACATTATATCTTTCAATTTAGATAATTTTTAATGACATGTGTAAGAAAGACGTCCGATTATCCGAATATATCATATGCACATTATGTTTACGTGCAATGCTAAACATTTCATTTAGTGTAGCTAAAGCACCGTGGCAAGTGACTCCAAGTTGGAATAATTATCATTTTAGGCTAATCGCTTCTCATTACTTTGATATCATGTATTCATGATTTAGATGTGCCGCATGAGAATCCAAATGCCCAATCAACTCCGACAGGAACTGCATCGTCCAAAGGCAAAGCTGAACCAACTGATGTTGGACGGAGATCATCCAAATGTAAGATTTAAAGATAAACATTAATACATTTTTTCCCTTTTTTGTTTTTTCATACACAAACCTTTTGATATGTAGGGCATCGTTTCACTAAACCGTCATGGGTACAAATGAAACAGGAATGTAAAATAACACGCATTCAATGGAATTTCGGTGAGCTTGGTATATGAAACAATTTCCTTCTTGTAAAGAGACGATTGGAACGAAATCGAGCAACTAACCATATATTTGTGCTATTCTGATTTGATTTTGATTGATTATTGTATCATCAGCATCTCAGTTCTCCGAAGAGCTGACGAGAAGCGAGCATCATGATCTTGAAACGATAGGTTCAACATCATCTGAGCCTGCAGACACAAAGGGTAAGACTATGGCCTATCATGAGCGGTTCTGGAGGAATACATATGTATATGTGTTTTGTTTTGTTTTGTTTTGTTTTGTTTTGTTTTTTTTTTTTTTTTTTTTTTGGGGGGGGGGAGAGAGGGGCAGGAGGGGGGAGGGGGTAGCAGGGATTGGGGTCTTCGTTCTCTACATGTGCTACTTTTAGGGGAAGGGGGAGGGACATAAGAACCGCTACTGCGGCCTATATTCTTGAAATTTGCCTTGTTTTTTTTTTAATGTGGTAATTGAATGAGGTGGTCGTTATTTTACCTGACTGCTAAGAAAGCATACTGCTTGTAAGTAAGCAACCAGACGGCCGACGGCTTTAGGTCCTCCCGAGGGACCTGGTAATGAGGATTAATGCCTTACCAAAGGGCACTAGCGCATCGACTTGGTTTCGAACCCGGGTCACCGGATCACGAGACCACTGCTCTACCGACTGAGCTATCGCGCCTCAGTTTTTAAATCCTTTGGTTTAAATCATATTCTTTACTATATTATTGATGTATATTTTATATCGTATGATTTTTACTCTGTAAATTGAACAATTTCATCTCAACACTACATGTTCCATGATATTATCCCAATGATTTCAATAAACCAAAATAATACAATATAATTCGACAGTCGACTTGCGATGATAACGGATCAGTCAGATTTCTTTACAGCACAAGTCGGGGTCTGGTTTAATCATTTTTAAAAGCTTTTTTTACGTTGCTTTATTTCAGACGGAGGTATTCCTACTGAAGCACTTACAAGACCTAGCCCTTTGACTCCGCCATCGGTAGAGTCACCGCCAAGTGAACATGCCTACCAAGTCACACATGATTTGGTAACAGAAAGTGGAGCAATTGGTAAGGAGCTAAAATATTAAGGTGTGTCCTGGGCTCTGTAACAAAAAAGTCAATTATTTCTCCCAAAAATTTATCTTATCTCCTCAATCAATCGTATCTTTAAGGTGACATTTGATGTTATGTTACAGATAGTAGCGAACGAAATCCTTTGGCAAAACATTATTGTTTATAATTACGCTACACTCGATCCATGTGTAATAAGTGGGCAGGTTACCTGAAAAGGTTGCTGGAATTTAACCGGGGTAATAATATCAAAAGCCCTTGAGAAGCGCATTATTGTGATATACGCTTATTTCCTTTACATGCTCTACAGAAATTTAAACGATGTAATTGATTTACGTCATATCACCTTTTTGTTCGTTTTGTTTTAAGCTCCGACATCATCGACAGAGCCCGTCCTTTCATTAGATTCTGCAGCAGAGGGGAAAGTGGGAGTCTTAGACCGACCAGCATTTGTGGAAAACATTGTCCAAGAATTCGCTCCAGGACTTTCAGCAGATCGAAATATCAACCAGCGTACTGGAAACGTCTATATCAACGTCAACAATATCAAAGTCATCAACAATCCCCAAGGGAATAATCCTCATGGAAATATTGCTGCCCCTGCCCCTGTTCCAATTGCTTTCATAGTACCTCCTAGGCTACAGCATGAGCTGCGTTGCCGGTTGAACAGAGAAAGCCCAGTTTTTGATGACTGGAGGGGTCTTGCCAATCAGCTTGAACTTCAAGACTACATACAATCACTGGAGCAGTGCAAGAATCCGACTGAAGAACTACTCGTTCTTGCTGAGAGTCAAAAGAAGATTCGGAACCTTGGAGACTTGACTAAGGCGTTCGAACGCATGAATCGTGGGGATTGTCAAGAGCTCTGCGAGAACTATGCGTTTGAGAGAACAAAGTCAGCTGATCCTCGGAAGGATCAAATGGAAGATGATGACACAGACATCAGTGATTAGGGAACAGGCTCAATCTGTTCCATATCACCCTTTAATCCATGGTCTATGGCTCGTTATTTGGACAACATGAACATAGCACCATAATTACGGTTGTTTTAATCCGACATGTACCTGTCGTTTGGTTTTCGCAAAAAAAACAAACATTCAATGAGTTTTCTCGAAAAATAATAAAGGTATACTCTAATTCATTTAAGCCTTATCCTAAACTTAGTTCTCAGACCAATTTTCTTTTTAACCCAATTTTTTGACGATGTCTCAATCCAACGTCCAGTTTAAATATTAGTACAATTCGGGCCTAATAAATTGACCAAACATTGGTCAAAGAGGAAATATGCATGCATTTTGGGTATATTACTACCCAATATTACATAAACCTTGTTCAATTATTAGTACATTATACAAATTATTGTGTAAACGCTCGCTGCATCAAGATTATGACATTGATTGCTTTTACACGAACAAAGCAGTGAGATTCACTTTGAAATATTCATCGATTTTAAGAAAGCAACTTTGACACATTTAATCATTATTCACTAGCTAAACTCTATTATAATGGCATTCGAGGTTTACCTCTTGCATGGTTTAAGGACTATATCAGTAGCAGATCTCATATTGTTCAATGTGGTCAAACGTTATTTGAATGGAATACAATAAGATGTGGGGTTCCACCAGGATCAGTACTAGGGCCAACTTTGTTTTTAACTGTATTAATGATCTGCCATCATTAACTGATTATGTCAATTTATTGCTGTTAATTTTGCAAATGTTTCTAACATAAGTCATACTTATCAAGCTGACCAGTGCGAAATTAATGTGGATGAAGTAGTTTACAACACACAGACAAACTAGCACATTGCTATAAACAAACTTCAACTAGTTCAATGAAACTTATATCATGTTCATAAGTAGTTTGCGTAAAAACAGGTATAAATGGTAAACTGAACATAGCTGGAGAGGGAATCCAAGCGGTTGATGATACCACTTATGATAGAAATCTGCCATGGAATAGTCATATTCGTTATGTAAATCAGTGTATCATAAGTGCAACATTTTGTTCCTAGGCGTGCTTTGACATTATCCATTATCATATAAAACGTGGATAAAATCACACAGGTGTGGGGAAGCAATATAAGGTTAGCCTATTAAGAAGCATATTGTATTCACAGAAAATAGCAGTTCGTGCTTTTTTCATTTAGAGAGGGAATTACTCATACAGCTCAACTACTTTCATGTTTGATCTGTTTGATGAAATTTGTCTCATATGTTGATATATAGTGCAAAGAGTATACATGTATAGAGTATAGTTACTCCACAAGGCAAACAGAAGATTAACAATTACGTCTGCCAAAATTTAGAACGACACATGGTCGATTTCCATTGTCTCTTGTGATTAGTTACTTGATTACCTATTAATGTTAGAATATGTTACAACACATTTGATGAACAAATCATGAATCGAAAATCCATGCAAAAAGTCTGTATGTGTACAACAATTATATTTCGTATTTTGTAAGACATTGTTAAAGTTATATATTTGTATAGTATTGATTGCAATAGTACATTCATTTCTTTTTTTTTTTCCTTTTTTTTTTCTGAAGGTTACTTGTACAAAATACATTGGTTAGCTGTTAGGCGTTAGGATCGATTACATACCTCACTTAAGAAATCCAGCCATCTGATTGGTCGAAATTGCATTCATAAACTTTAACTATTTCTGTAAAATTCCCAGTAACCATGGTTAAAACAGTTCTAAAATCCCAGTAACCATGGTTACCGGGAAAATAGTTCAGTCTCCATGGTTACCCCATAGGTTTACATGTTAAAAAATGGTTTGAGCGATCAAGGATACCGTACGTGTGCGAAGAATTGGTCGGTATTTTCATACAAGACAAGACAATTCCAAACAAGACAAAAATGACTAAAGAAACTGTCCCAAGATTTCAACTTATCAAATGCAAGACACGCTGACAGCAAGAACAACAAAAAGGGTACGTGAAATTATCCATAAACATGTTCGTTTAGTTGCTGAAAATGGAGTACCAGCATAGACGTAGACGAAAATAGATCTAGTTGTCAGGGTGTCTGATCGCGCACCCGATGTTGTGTACAAAAATTCTCAGGCTTCCCATAGAGATTACACGCAATGCAGTCTTTATGCAGTCTACGTGCATTTCGCGACCATGCAAAAAAAGTCAAGTTTTTTTTTTCAATTCGAGATTCAAACCTTTATCTTTTGTGATCCTGAAGGTGATACTCAATAAGTGAGGTGTCATATGAAAGCGCAGGTTCTTTTCTCTATTCCCCACAGGGCCGGCCACCCCCTAAATTGTAAAAATATCTTGCTTAGACTAGAATCTAGATCTAGTCTACTCTCAAAGATACACTCATAAAAAACAACCGTGCAGATAAACTAGAGAAAGGCCAAGGTGGTGTCATTAGTTGACTCTTTTGTTTTCGGCATATAAAAGTATTAATGACTGCTTTAATATTCGAGAAGTAGTTGTTTTTATACGCTCTCGGGAAGGTTACAATTGGGCTATTGCCCTCGGCACGCCTCGGGCAATAGCACAATTGTAACCTTCCCTTGAGCGTATAAAAACAACTATTTCTCTCAAAGCAGTCATTAATACTATACTATCACATATGCAAATATTCGGCGCCCATTTTGCATACCAATATTTTCTCTTCTTGTACATATAAATACCGTTGTATGAAATGCATGGTATTTATTTGCTGTTACTAAATAAATCAATCAAATAAAAACAAATTTAATGAAAATTCTAAACATTGACAGGATTGTAATCATAAAAGTGATATACATGTACATGGAAATTATTAACATCAACTCAAATGAAATCAAATTAAATGAATTCAACATTTGAAAGCATCTAGCAGAAACCACAGGTGTTAAATTGAATACTCTGTTTAAGAAAATGAAAACAATGAGCTCCTGTTGTATGCAAAGCCAGCGATTTTATTCCTTGGGGGAGGGGGGGGGGGTGCAACAGCCGGAAAACGCAACCTTCAAGACATATTGATAGCATTCTTTGAAAGCATTCTTTGCATTTAATTAAACTAACACACCTTGACAAATAGCGGTGAATAAAGGGGATCCCTCATAAAAACTGAACATTATTACGTTTTGCCTGAGATCCTTCTCATTCAAACGTTAATTCCAAAGGGGTTCGTCTTTTATGTTACCTTTATTCGACGTTTATTCTTCTTCAAACTATTTATCAATACTTTATGTACATATATCTTTTTAATTGCATTGGATTAATTGAACTGTTATGTATATCATAATGATATTCGTTATAGATAGGTATGATAGGCGCTCCTTTGTTATAAGTTCATTAATTTTGCGTTAAAGCAGAAAAATAAGAAACTCATGATTGCAAACGTTTGAATAAATCGGTCAAATAATAAAGCAGTTATGAATGTTTGAAAAATGATATCTCTAAATCTATATGCGAATCTCAAATTGGCAATTGGGTCAATGGATTGTGATGTATTCTTGGACAATTCTTTCGTTTGTTGTGTACAAAAATATCAGTATTATCTGTTTTTCTCCTTGCCTTCTTCCATTGGGCACTCCTACGTACATATATATGTATATATTATATATTTTATATCATATGTGTTTTTATTTGTGTTTGAAATGAATTGAATCGAATTAAATTGAATATATTATGAGAATCTCAGTTTGTATAGAAATTACATATTTGCACACCCAATGGCGTTAGAATACCTTTCATTCAAAAAGGGCATTGACTGAAACGCGGTCCTAAAGAGCTCTCAATGCTTCATCCGTCAAGGTTTCATAAACAAATAATGTTGGCAGAGACGGAATAAAGTGCGGAGATTATCACATATATCATGCATGTTTCTGCAAACGGACTTGAAATTGTTTGTTTGTTTTTATTTCCGAAATCCATATATACATACAAGTTTAAAAAACTTTCATATAAAAGACATTTCAAACGATAAGAAAGTAAGTAAATGTGTTAGGTATAGACTAACGGTTGGATAGCCCATTTCAGAACCATTTTCAAAATGGTCCTGTTCTTCCATGGGGTCCGAAAGCAAAAATCATAAATTTACATACAATATCAATTTTTATAAAAATCATAGTAATTTACCAATACACTACCACCCCTTATCGATTCCCCTAACCTCACACCCACCCGCAACCCTCTCGATACTGCCAACCCCTCCCGCTACCCCTTTCCAAGTCCTCCAGTGTATATTATCGTCCGATTCTTAGCGATTCGGGGCAATGTTATAGTGTGTCCGGGTTGTTGTTGGTCTGGCATCTTCTGTCTGTTGAGCAGCCCGTGAATCGAAATTTCTCTATTTCATTTTTAGAACTCATTTTCAAGAACGAGGATGTTAGTCCATCTTTTTTTATTAAACACAATTCTGAGAATGTATTCAATATGAGAATAATGAAAGTAATACATTATGAGCAAAGGGTGCGAGTATGAAGTGCATATGTGCATGGAGAACGGCGAATAACATGCACTTTGTTAGCATCTTATTATGCTTAATTGATGGCGATACTATGAAAAATTTGGTTTATATTCTGCCAATTCTAGAGGTATGAAGCAAGTACTCTACACCAACCGAATACATCATTACACATTCATATAGAGTTTTACCGGAAAGCGATATTATATGTGGATATCTTTTTCATTCTCTTTCCCTTTCGTATTTCTCTCTTTTTCCTGTTTTCTCTCATTTTTCCTAGTATTCGATGTGTTTGAGTGTGTGTGTTTAGTGCGTGGGAAGGGGTGGGGGGGGGAGATCTACCTAGCAATCATTATGAATGAGGCGTTATGAAATATTGATCCGCCATGTTCTTTTTCTTTCGCGCAGATCTAAAACCAGGTATAGTTCAGGCCAAAAGAAATACAGAGAAATGGCAAGGCAATAGGGCTGTATTGTCGCAATACGCAGTACGGTAATGTAGGCAGACTTCTACAGCCGAATACGGATCTGAATGCAAAGTCCAATTTATGTACTGCTTTCATATATCACGCTTGAGTGTTCCTTCAGAATAGACCAAATATCATCGGTACTACAGGGTACAGGCTAATTTACAAAGTAGTTCAATGTTACATTACAATAAGAAACATGGTGCTTGGAGAGCACGGTGATATATTATCATCAAGAGAAAAACGTTGTGGGTGTGAATTGCGTTAAACATGGCGCTATTTTCAGCGGCAGCAAAAGGAGACTTCCTGAAGATACAATCATTAATCGACTCGGAGGACAAGTCAGAGGATTCGGGAGGAGTTGATGTAAACTGCTCGGATGCGTCAGGCAAGACGGCCCTTCACATTGCTTCGGAAAATGGACATTTGCAAACGGTTAAATGCTTTACCAATCTTGGAGCAAAAGTGAATGTGGTCGATGCTAACCTACATACATCGCTTCACTTATGTTCAAAGATAGGCCATCTTCATGTGGTAGAGCTGTTAGTGAACGAAGGAGCAGATATTGAAATTAGTGATAAAGATGGGTTTACATCTCTTCACATAGCATCACGCAAGGATCATCTTGATATTGTCAAATACCTTGTTAGTAAAGGGGGAGACCTGGGGAAACTTGCCAATGGTTACTGGACACCTCTACTCCTTGCCTTCGACGGTGGCCATCTATGCATTGCAGAGTACCTTTTGACAGAAGGAGCCAACATTAACACGTGTGGTGAAGGTGGATATACAGCTCTACATACTGCATCACAAACTGGTAATATCGATGGGGTAAAATTTCTAACCAGTCAAGGAGCAGAGCTGGATAGGAGCACTGGCGATGGTTGGACCGCACTTAGTCTGGCCTCGTTTGGAGGACGCCTTGACATTGTCAAAGTTCTCGTTAACGAAGGGGCTCAGCTTGACAAATTTGACGAAGCCGATAGGACACCCTTACATTGTGCTTCTCAAAAAGGCCATCTTGAAGTTGTCGAGTACATTCTGAACAAAGGAGCAGGCATTGAAATTGGTGATAAGATGGTTTTACGGCTCTTCACATAGCATCATTCAATGGTCATCTTGATATTGTCAAATACCTTGTTAGGAAAGGGGCACAGCTTGACAAATGTGTCAAAAACGGCAGGACTCCCTTGTCTTGTGCTTCTCAAGAAGGCCATCTTGAAGTCGTCGAGTATATCGTGAACGAAGGAGCAGGCATTGAAATTGGTGATCAAGGTGGGGTTACAGCTCTTCATAATGCATCATTCAAGGGTCATCTCGATATTGTCAAATACCTTGTTAGGAAAGGGGCACAGCTTGACAAATGTGACCAAAACGGCAAGTCACCCTCGTCTTGTGCTTCTAAAGAAGGCCAACTTCATGTGGTAGAGCTGTTAGTGAACGAAGGAGCAGATATTGAAATTAGTGATAAAGATGGGTTTACAACTCTTCACATAGCATCACGCAAGGGTCATCTTGATATTGTCAAATACCTTGTTAGTAAAGGGGGAGACCTGGGGAAACTTGCCAATGATTACTGGACACCTCTACTCCTTGCCTTTGACGGTGGCCATCTAAGCATTGCAGAGTACCTTTTGACAGAAGGAGCCAACATTAACACGTGTGGTGAAGGTGGATATACAGCTCTACATACTGCATCACAAACTGGTAATATCGATGGGGTAAATTTTCTAACCAGTCAAGGAGCAGAGCTGGATAGGAGCACTGGCGATGGTTGGACCGCACTTAGTCTGGCCTCATTTGGAGGACGCCTTGACATTATCAAAGTTCTAGTTAACGAAGGGGCTCAGCTTGACAAATTTGACGAAGCCGATAGGACACCCTTACATTGTGCTTCTCAAGAAGGCCATCTTGAAGTTGTCGAGTACATTCTGAACAAAGGAGCAGGCATTGAAATTGGTGATAAAGATGGTTTTACGGCTCTTCACATAGCATCATTCAATGGTCATCTTGATATTGTCAAATACCTTGTTAGGAAAGGGGCACAGCTTGACAAATGTGACAAAAACGGCAGGACTCCCTTGTCGTGTGCTTCTCAAGAAGGCCATCTTGAAGTCGTCGAGTATATCGTGAACGAAGGAGCAGGCATTGAAATTGGTGATCAAGGTGGGGTTACAGCTCTTCATGAAGCATCATTCAAGGGTCATCTTGATATTGTCAAATACCTTGTTAGGAAAGGGGCACGGTTTGACAAATGTGACCAAAACGACAGGACACCCTTGTCTTGTGCTTCTCAAGAAGGCCATCTTGAAGTCGTCGAGTATATCGTGAACGAAGGAGCAGGCATTGAAATTGGTGATCAAGGTGGGGTTACAGCTCTTCATGAAGCATCATTCAAGGGTCATCTTGATATTGTCAAATACCTTGTTAGGAAAGGGGCACAGCTTGACAAATGTGACCAAAACGGCAGGACACCCTTGTCTTGTGCTTCTCAAGAAGGTCATCTTGAAGTCGTCGAGTATATCGTGAACGAAGGAGCAGGCATTGAAATTGGTGATTAAGGTGGGGTTACAGCTCTTCATGAAGCATCATTCAAGGGTCATCTTGATATTGTCAAATACCTTGTTAGGAAAGGGGCACAGCTTGACAAATGTGACCAAAACGGCAAGACACCCTTGTCTTGTGCTTCTCAAGAAGGTCATCTTGAAGTCGTCGGGTATATCGTGAACGAAGGAGCAGGCATTGAAATTGGTGATCAAGGTGGGGTTACAGCTCTTCATAAAGCATCATTCAAGGGTCATCTTGATATTGTCAAATACCTTGTTAGGAAAGGGGCACAGCTCGACAAATGTGACCAAAACGGCAAGACACCCTTGTCTTGTGCTTCTCAAGAAGGTCATCTTGAAGTCGTCGAGTATATCGTGAACGAAGGAGCAGGCATTGAATTTGGTGATAAAGATGGATTTACAGTTCTTCACATCGCATCATTCATGGGTCATCTTGATATTGTCAAATACCTTGTTAGGAAAGGGGCAGACCTGGGGAGACTTAATGCTACTGGTTACTGGACACCTTCATGCCTTGCTTCTAAGTGTGGCCATATGGATATCTATGAATTTCTTTTAGAAAGAGAAGCAACAAATACCGTTCAGCCATTGTTTGGGTTGGACAGGAAAAAATATCGGAAACGTCGCGGTGGTGGTGAGGCCTACCTTGGCGATATGCCCCCATACTTCCGATCATAGGACCCAGTTCTCATCAGTCCACGAGACAGCTCTCACTTCCCGAGGGAAATCATCAAAGACGAGACAAAGATTATAAGTCTCGACGAGTACAGCATCAAGGTTCCGATTTCACGAGACGATGTGGACAGAGCCAAATATATCACAGCAGAAGCATTGACAACCATTCCACCTGACTTAAACCTGGAAAAAGACGAAGTCATCATCTCAGTTGGGCTCAAGCTGTCCCCTCCTGGTTTTCAATTTAAAACTCCGGTAGAAGTCAAGATCTTGCATAGCGCTATTTTCAGCAACCCAGACAAGGCAGAAATTGTGCTATACACTCGAAGGACTGGTAAGATCTTCCTATTACTATAGATCCCATATTTCCACATAAATTCCCTTCCCTTCCGCTGTGTTTGCGAGAGAGTAAATTCCCGTTCCTTTTATTTCCCGCACTTCGTCTAATCATTTTAATTCGCTCTTAGATTTATATTTAATTGAAGGTGTACTGTTGATCCGCAAACCTTACAAAAAATACTTTTTTTCTTTATCATATGAAATTAAATCCCTGATCATTGACAGTTCACTGCTTAAAAAAAATTAACACGGTCCTCTCTTTCTATGTGTGTCTTTTTGATAGCGTCTGATGAATTTTCAAGGATAGTTCCTGCTTTTGACAAAACTGCCCGGTGTGTAGTCGCAAAGAATCACCTTACTCTGTACCTAGACCATTTCTCGGAATGGTGGATTATCTCCTTAATCAAGAGATACTTCATCGGTAAACGGCTCATCTGTACGCCATACGTTCCCCTGTCAACATACAGAGACGTGTTGAACCGCATCTATCTCGTCATTAAAGACGACTTCTACGGCATGAAAGAGGTAGTTTAATTGGTTATTCATTTTCAGACTTTGTCCAATCGATTTCATAATTTTGCATCTAATTTCGTCAGAGTCAAATCAAGTTCGTCATCTTTGGCTGCCAACGTACAATTGCATGAAGCAATTTTGCCCTTTTGCAACCGATTTCGTCAAAGCGTCATTCAAATACACCCCTCGTTCGTTATAAGGACTTGTCTATGCGACGAATATGAATGAAATTCTCTTGAAATCGATTGCACAAAGACGAATTTGGACCGCACGATGAGACGAATTCGAATGAAATCTGACGGAAATAAATGGACAAGCGTTGATATTGATTGACTATTCGCTAACTTGGATGACAGGATTTCTAGATTGAATTTGACATTCGCACGAATCCGAATTCCTAGGGTAAAATTAAAGTGCACGAAAATGAATTTGAATTAAATAAATGTTAAAATTAATAGGAAATCGTATAGTAAGTCAATGGAACTTACACTGTATTTTTGTTTGTTTAGCAAACACTGGAATTGGGACAAAAAGTTTTATAACCATATTTATTGAGATAACTGTCAATTCAATTCAAACCGGATAAACGTTTCACATCGTGGAGTAGATGATCATGTAGAGACCCATAAAAGATTAATTGCCTGTTTTGTGGAGGTGTCGTGGTATAGTCGTTCATTCAATTGAATCCAAGGGTTAAGGGTTCGAATGCTATAGCCCGGCACTAACGTTCTTTGGCAAGACATTAATCCACATTTTACACGAAAGTGTAACAGAGTACCTGATAATTGCTGGAGTATATTGCAGTGCCATCTGAAAGAACAGCTTTATTTCTAAGTTTGTTCTCGTTATTTGTTGCAATTATTATTATCATTTTCATTATCATCCTGTCAATGTTGATTCTTCTGTTCAAACTTTTGCAGGATACCATACGAGACTACAAAGTAGCCTTTCCCGGTGAGCAGTACTGTGTTTATTGGGGAAAGGGAGCTCTATTTGTCAGACATCTGGAAAATGAAGTCGAGGTGTCAAACAAGGTAAGAACTACAATATAAATGATTTCGTTGTTTCTCCAGAAGGAAATTATCCTGACAAACGATCGTCCGTTACCTATTATGCATGGCCTAATATATATTTGTCTACATTACCAAAAACACGGGCTAGAGGTTCCTTAAATCGGCACTGAACTGATGAACTGTTCATTGCACAGCGCTATCTCATGGTCTATTTGCCAACAGTGTGTAATCCAATACCTTAAAGCCTATCCGCACTAATTTGGCCAGGATGGATTAGACCTCCCTGGATAGTAACTGACAGGTGGTTATCTCATCAAATCAGCTCTCAATTAACATAAGAAAAAGGGGATTATAGGGGACCAATGGTCACCGATTAGGCATTATTTGCTATATAGAGGGCGCAAGTAGCTATGAGTAGTGTATAGTGGGCCTTTAATACGCTTAATTGATGGTTATCTCTGATTTCTTTAGGAACTTGAAGAATGTGCTTTCTTCGACATGACGACCCATCGGATGCCGTTCACTCTTCAGCCACGTGAAAGAATAGTATCCGGAGTTCTCGTCACTTTCATCTTGAAGCAAAAAATCACCAAGGATATCGGCTTTACAGTATGGTACAAAGGTAATATCAATGAATTTCTTTGGGGGGAGGGGGTGGCTTAAAAACGCTCACTGGCAGTACCGGCAGAGAAGATCGTATTTTTGTGCAGTTTCAGGAATGGTTATTTGCCTGAAATTCGGACAAACTGTAAAAAAAACAAAATCTTTCTTTTCAGGTAACTTTGAATGACTTGTGTATGAAACACTTGAGATTTTACGAAGTTTAAAAACGAATTTTTATTGATACTGGACAAAATGCTCCTGAAAACAAAAGTGAACTCTTTACCAGTTTTGTCGATCCTGACACCATTTTTTCATGTGATATGATTCTACTAAGTGCTGGTACCAGTGATCTTGACCTACATCATTGAAACTATGCTAGTCCGTTTATATAGGGCTCATGGGTTGATCAGTCAAAACAAGATCTGAATATCCGAAAGGCGAAAGCCTGGACGGCTTTGAACAAGCTGACAGCCATCTTGAAATCAAACCTCGGTAGACAACTGAAAGTCCGTTTCTTTAGAGCTTCAGTGGAAAATGAACTGCTCTATGGATCAGAAGCCTGGACATTGACGAATATCCTGTAAAACAACTGGATGGTTGCTATACAAGACTCTGAGAGAGCATTTAGAAAAAGACACCCGTCTACAAAGGCAGGAACTCCCAAAGATCATGGAGAATAGAACTCAATGGAAAAATCTTGTCAAATCGGTGCGAGTACGCTCGACCTAGTTAGTAGTACATTATTTGTACGTGCAATGCTATACAGTTCATTTGGTGTAGCAAAAGTACCATGGCAAGTGACTCCAATTTGGAATAATTATCATTTTAGGCTAATCGCTTCTCATCACATTGATATCATGTATTCAAAATTCAGATGTGCCGCATGAGAATCCAAGTGCCCAATCAACTCCGACAGGATCTGCATCGTCCAAAGGCAAAGTTGAACCAACTGATGTTGGACGGGGAACATCCAAATGTAAGATTTAAAAAATATATACTAATACTATTTTTCCTTTTGATATGCAGGGCATCGTTTCATGAAACCTAAATGGCTACAAGTGAAAAATGTAGTGTACAAAATGAACACGCTTTAAATGGGATGTCGGCGAGCTTGTTGCATATGAAGCAATGTCCTTCTTTTGAGAAAATTTGAACAAAATCGAAACAAATAACGTTGTGAGGAGGCTTTTAATCTTGCGATTTACTCTCATGAGTGCAAGATGAAAACATGTTTTGTAATTGTGCTATTCTGATTTAATTTACTATTGCATTTCAGCATCTCAGCTCTCCGAAGAGCAGACAAGAAGCAAGCATCATGATCTTGAAACGATAGGTTCAACATCACCTGAGCCTTCAGACACAAAGGGTAAGACTATATATCCTATCAGGAGCGGTTCTGTAGGAATACATGTATATATGTTATTATCTTTTGGGACAGTGGGGGAGGGGGGAGGGTCGCAGGGTGTGGGGTATTCTAGAGTTCGTTTTTACATGTGGTTATTAATGTTGGGGAAGGGGGGGGGGGCTCTAAAACCAATACTGCGACCCATATTCTTTAAATTATCCTTTGTTTTAAATATCCTTTTTTTTTAAATGTACATGTATTATCAATGTATTTTTATATCGTATAATTTTAAATCTGTAAATTGAACTATTTCATCTTTCATGATTCCATGATTTTATCACAATCCTTCCAATAACCCAAACTAATACAATATAATCCGAGGGTCAACTTGCGATAGATAAGGGATCAGTCAGAGTTCTTAACAACACAGGGCGAAGTCTTGTTTTAATCATTTTGAAAAAGCTTTTTGTACGTTGCTTTTTTTCAGATGAAAGTAGTCCTACTGAAGTCCGTACAAGGCCTAGGCCATTAACTCCATCATCGATAGAGTCACCGCCATGTGAACATGCCTACCAAGTCACACATGACTTTGTAACTGAGATAGAGACAGTTGGTAAGGAGCTGAAAGATAAAGTCGTGTTCAGGGCTCTGTTACAACACAAATTTCAATTGTACCTCAAAAAAATTAAGCTTATCTCCTCAATCAATCGTAACTTTAAGGTGACATTTGATGTTATGTTACAGATAGTAACGAACGAAACCTTTGGCAAAACATTATTGTTAATAATTATGCTACACTTGATCCATGTGTAATAAGTGGGCAGGCTTCCTGAAACGGTTGCTGGAACTTAACCGGGGTTATAATATCTATAGCTATTTAGAAGCGCATATATTGTGATATACGTTTATTACTTTTAAGTCCTCTACGGAAATTTGAACGATGTAATTGATTTATACGTCATAACATCTTTGTGTTCGTTTTGTTTTAAGCTTTGACGTTATCGAAAGTGCCCGTCTATTCATTAGAGTCTGCAGCAGAGGGGGCGATGGGAGTCCTAGCCCCACCAGCATGGTTTAATGTGGTTTAATCATTTTCTATAACCTTTTTTTTTTACATTGCTTTATTTCAGACGGAAGTAGTCCTACTGAAGTTCTTACAAGACCTAGCCCTTTGATTTCACCAGCAGAGTCACTGTCACGGGAACATGCCTACCGAGTCACAAATGATTTTGTAACGGAGACAGTAGCCTCACCAGCGTGTGCGGCAAACATTGTCCAAAAATTGGTTCCAGGACTTCCAGCCGACCAAATGCACCCGCGTTCTGGGGACGTCTATAATATTATGGTTATCAACAATCCCAAAGAAAAAGATTCTGAAGGAAATACTGTTGCCCCTGCCCCTGTTGCAATTGCTTCCATAGTACCTCCTAGGCTACTGCATGAGCTGCGTTGCCGGTTGAACAGAGAAAGCCCAGTTTTTGGTGACTGGAGGGGTCTTGCCAGTGAGCTGGGACTTGGAGACTACATTCAATCACTGGAGCAGTGCAAGAATCCGACTGAAGAACTACTCGTTCTTGCTGAGAGTCAAAAGAAGATTCGGAACCTTGGAGACTTGACTAAGGCGTTCGAACGCATGAATCGTGGGGATTGTCAAGAGCTCTGCGAGAACTATGCGTTTGAGAGAACAAAGTCAGCTGATCCTCGGAAGGATCAAATGGAAGATGATGACACAGACATCAGTGATTAGGGAACAGGCTCAATCTGTTCCATATCACCCTTTAATCCATGGTCTATGGCTCGTTATTTGGACAACATGAACATAGCACCATAATTACGGTTGTTTTAATCCGACATGTACCTGTCGTTTGGTTTTCGCAAAAAAACAAACATTCAATGAGTTTTCTCGAAAAATAATAAAGGTATACTCTAATTCATTTAAGCCTTATCCTAAACTTAGTTCTCAGACCAATTTTCTTTTTAACCCAATTTTTTGACGATGTCTCAATCCAACGTCCAGTTTAAATATTAGTACAATTCGGGCCTAATAAATTGACCAAACATTGGTCAAAGAGGAAATATGCATGCATTTTGGGTATATTACTACCCAATATTACATAAACCTTGTTCAATTATTAGTACATTATACAAATTATTGTGTAAACGCTCGCTGCATCAAGATTATGACATTGATTGCTTTTACACGAACAAAGCAGTGAGATTCACTTTGAAATATTCATCGATTTTAAGAAAGCAACTTTGACACATTTAATCATTATTCACTAGCTAAACTCTATTATAATGGCATTCGAGGTTTACCTCGTGCATGGTTTAAGAACTATCTCAGTAGCAGATCTCATAATGTTCAATGTGGTCAAACGTTATTTGAATGGAATAAAATAAGATGTGGGGTTCCACCAAGATCAGTACAAATAAGATCCAGAACCTTGGGGACTTGGCTAAGGCGTTCGAACGCATGAATCGTGGGGATTGTCAAGAGCTCTGCGAGAACTATGCGTTTGAGAGAACAAAGTCAGCTGATCCTCGGAATGATCAAATAGAAGATGATGACACAGACACCAGTGATTAGGGAACAGGCTCAATGTGTTCCATATCACCATTTAATCCAGGGTCTATGGCTCGTTATTTGGACAACGTTATGAGCATAGCACTATACGTACGGTTGTTGTAATCCAACAAGTACCTGTCTTTTGGTTTAAAAAAAAAAATCAAAATCAATAGATTTGCTCGAAACATAATAAAGGTATACTCTAATTCATTTAAGCCTTATCCTAAACTTAGTTCTTAGACCAATTTTCTTTTTTAACCCAATTTTTGGACAAAAGTCTCAATCCAGCGTCCGGTTTAAATATTAGTACAAGTCGGGCCTATGAAATTGACCAAACATTGGTCAAAGAGGAAATATGCATGTATTTTGGGTACATTACTACCCAATATTGCGTAAACCTTGTTCACTTTTGAGTACATTATACCCATTATTGTGTAAACGCTCGCCCTCTTGTTATATGTTTCGCTGCATCAAGATTATTACATTGTATGCTTTTACAAGAACGAAGCAGTAAGATTCACTTTGAAATATTCATCGATTTTAAGAAAGCAACTTTGACACATTTAATCATTATTCACTAGCTAAACTGTATTATAATGGCATTCGAGGTTTACCTCGTGCATGGTTTAAGGACTATCTCAGTAGCAGATCTCATAATGTTCAATGTGGTCAAACGTTATTTGAATGGAATAAAATAAGATGTGGTGTTCCACCAAGATCAGTACTAGGGCCAACTTTGTTTTTAACTATATAAATGATCTGCCATCATTAACTGATTATGTCAATTTATTGCTGTTAATTTTGCAAATGATTCTAACATAGTCAAACTAAGTCATACTTATCCAGCTGACCAGAGCGAAATTAATGTGGATGAAGTAATTTACAACACACAGAAAAATTGGCACATTGCTAACAAACTTACAACTAATTCAATGAAACTTATATCATGTTCATAAGTAGTTTGCGTAAAAACAGGTATAAATGGTAAACTGGAAATAGCTTGATAGGATATCAAGGAGGTTGATGTTGTCAATTATGATACACGTCTGCCATGGAATAGTCATATTCGTTATGTAAATCAGTGTATCAGGATTGCAACATTTTGTTCCTAGGCGTACTTTGACAGTATCCATCACCATATAAAACGTGGATAAAACCACACAGGTGTGGTGAAGCAATATAAGGTTAGCCTATTAAGAAGCATATAGTATTCACAGAAAATAGCAGTTCGTGCTTTTTTCATTTAGAGAGTGAATTACTCGTACAGCTTAACTACTTTCATGTTTGATCTGTTTATAATAAAAGTTTGTCTCATATGTTGATATATAGTGTATAGAGTATTTGTGGAGTAACTATAGCACGACATATGGTCGATTTCCATTGTCTCTTGTGATTAGTTACATGATTACCTATTAATGTCATATTATGTTACAACACATTTGTTGAACAAATCATGAATCGAAAATCCATGCAAATAGTCTGTACAAACCTCCTGTATGTGTGCAACAATTATATTTCGTATTTTGTAAGACATTGTTAAAGTTATATATTTTGATAGTATTGATTGCAATAGTACATTAATTTCTTTGTTTTTGTTTTGTTTTTTTGAAAGTTACTTGTACAAAATACATTGTTGAGCTGTGCATAAGGCGTTAGGGTCGACTAGCACATATGCTGTTATCCGCCCAATTTACCAACCAATATTTTCTCTTCTTGTACATATAAATATCGTTGTATTAAATAAATGGTACTTATTTGCTTTTCGTAAATAAATCTATCAAATACGAAAATCTAATAAAAATATTAACATTGACAGGATTGTAACCAGAAAAGTAATGTACATGTACATGGAAGTGAATTAACATCAACTCAAATCACATAAAATGAAATGAATTCAACATTTGAAAGTATCTAGAAGGAACCACAGGTGTTAAATTGCATATTTTGTTTAAGATAATTAAAACAATTAGCTCCTGTGGCCAGGAGCAAGGCAAGACCAGCGATTTTATTGCCTTTCACAAGCGAGTATCCTTTTTTTATGTCATTAAAAAAACAAAATATATATATGAGAGAGACAAAATCTTTATAAAAAAGACAACTAAGGAAGGAAGAAATCTGCCAAATTAAAGGGGATCCCTCATAACAACTGAACACTATTACGTTTTGCGTGAGATCCTTCTCATTCAAACGTTAATTACAAATGGGTTCGTCTTTTATGTTAACTTTATTCGACGTTTATTCTTCTTCATACTTATCAAACTGTTTATGTATACTTTGTGTACATATATGTTTTTAATTGTATTGGATTAATTGAACTTTTATGTATAGCATGATGATATTCGTTATAGATAGGTATGATAGGCGCTCCTTTGTTATATAAGTTCATTAATTTTGTGTGAAAGCAGAAAAATAAGAAACTCATGATTGCAAGCGTTTGAATAAATCGATCAAATAATAAAGCAGTTATGAATGTTTGAAAAATGATATCTCTAAATCTATATGCGAATCTCAAATTGGCAATTGGGTCAATGGATTGTGATGTATTCGTGGACAATTCTTGTTTGTTGTGTACACAAATATCAGTATTTTCTATTTTCTCCTTAGTGCCTTCTTCCATAGGGCACTCCTACATACAATGTATTATGGATAGCATATTATATTATATATTTTATATGATATGTGTTTATATTTGTGTTTGAAATAAATTGAATCGAATTAAATTGAATATATTGTGAGAATCTCAGTTTGAAAAGAAATTATATATTTGCACACCCAATGACGTTAGAATACCAGTCATTCAAAAAGGGCATTGACTGGAACGCGGTCCTATACAGAGTGAGTCAAAAAAATGTCCCACTTTTTAAAAGTTGTACCGTTTGAAGTATGAATATTTAATCATGGGTTTCATGATATGTCTTGATAGAGTTATCCTCCTAGTACATATAGGTACCATTTTCATTTGAATCTCTGCATTTTTTCTGACTCACTCTGTAGAGCTCTCAATGCTTCATCAGTCAGGGGTTTCGTACACAAATAATTTTGGCAGAAAGAGAATAAATTGCTGAGATTATTATATGTATCATGCGTGTGTGTATTTGACAACAAAGTGAACGCTAATCAGTATACGCTCTTAGAATTTAATTACATGTAGGTAGCTGCTGGTTGTTTTAGTGAATTACCCGATTCTAGGCAATGGTGTGAAAAATTCAGTGCCACAGGTTTTGACCATTCTAGGGGCAATTTACTTACAACAGAATCATATTTCATACCATCAAGCAATACATATTGGGGGTGATATTCTGAAAACTTCTGATTTTCAGAATACCGAATTAAAAGTATGTTAAGGGTATTTCAACCCACAAATGAACCTTCAGCAACGACTTTCTCGGATCCAGTACTCCAGTTTGTACATACAATTTGACATTTGAAGACCTAGGTTACTTTGTACAAAAGTTAGAATATCTGTAGATGTTTGAGGTGATTTGAACCATGTGCTAATTGCGAACTGGTCTACACATTATTCTACACAGACCAATTTAATTGTTGATGTTTATGTGTGACCAATCCTTTCTCACCTTATATCTCAATCAAATAAATGAGACTGCTACCAGACTACTCATCATAATATAATATCCTCCTATTTTAATGATCTCATTTCCCATACCCGTATCATCCAAATCTCTTTTCAAATTCAGGCAAAAACTCTAGCCTTTGTAACACCTTTCCTCGTACTTGTAGATATACATTTGTATGTATCATAATTTCTAAACACTGTTAAATATCTTTCATTGGAATGTATCTCCCAAATTGATCTGAAATTAAAGAAAGATTCTTTAAATCTAAATGTGAATTAATCTGTGTAAATTACATGACTAAAATAACAACTTCCACCCAACATTAAACTCCACGTATCTTCGTTATCAGAATAGTTATCATTGCACTCAGAAAATATATGGGATCTTTCGGTTTTTTCCCTGATTCCTTTTTCATTTAAGAAAAGAAAAGTACAAGAAAGGGATAGATTGTTAAAAACCATCACTATAACAATAATATATTTTGAACACTTTGGAGGACAGTGAAACAACAAAAACAAATCATTACATTGTCTTCTGAATGGAATAACAAATAAAGGTGATAAAGGATCCTCGATGAAAAAATAGAAGTGAACCTTATATTCTTGTAATACGTACTACGACACATCAAATACAAAGACATCCACACCAAGACCAGACAAGACAACCGATAACATTATCCACAGAGGCCAAAAATAAGTCAGTTTGGACTCTTTGGAGTCGGTGCAAAGTCGGTTTGCCAGTGTGACTGAGGTATTAATCATACCTCGAAAACCGACTTCAAATCGACCGATTCTCAGCGATTCGGGGAAATGTAATAATGTGTCCGGTTGTCGGTCTGGCATCTTCTGTCATTTAAACCACCAGTGAATCGAATTTTCCATATTTCATATTTAGTACTTATTCTCTAGAATAAGGATGTTAGTTCATCTTCTTAACTGACATAATTAAGAGAATGTATTCAAAATGAGAATAATGAAAGTTTTGAAATTTTGAGCAAAGGGCTCAAGTGTGAAGTGCATATGTGCATGGAGAGACATGAATAATTAACACTTTGTGAGCACCTTATAATGCTTAGTTGATGGGAATATACTGACAAAATTGGTTTATATCCTCCCAATTCTAGATAAATGAATCGAGAACTCTATATCAACAGGTTACAGCATTACACATGCAGAGTGTTAAAGAAAAGCGGTGGTAGAGATTGTATTCTTTTATTTTCCTCTCTCCTTTTGGTCTTCTCTCTTTTCCTTGTTTTCTCTCATATTTCTTAGTATTCGATGTGTTTGTTTGTGTGTGTGTTTGTGTGCGTGGGGAAGGGGGGCAGGTCAACCTAGCACTGGTTATGAATGAGGCGTAAAGAAATATTGATCCGCCATGTTTTTGTTTTTTTTCGCGCAGATCTAAAACCAGTTATATTTCAGGCCCCCAAAATACAGAGAAACAGCATGGCAATAGGACTGTTAATTGTCGCAATACGCAGTACGGTAATGTAGGCAGACTTCTAAAGCCGAATACGAATCTGAATGCAAAGTCCAATTCATAGAATGCTTTCATACAATCACGCTTGAATGTTCCTTCAGAATAGACCAAATATCATCACTACTAAATGGTACGGGCTAATTTACACAGTAGTTCAATGTTACATTGCAATAAGTAACATGGTGTTTGGAGAGCACGGTGATATATTATCATCAAGAGAAAAACGTTGTGGGTGTGAATTGCGTTCAACATGGCGCTGTTTTCAGCAGCAGCAAAAGGAGACTTCCTGAAGATACAATCATTAATCGACTCGGAGGACAAGTCAGAGGATTCGGGAGGAGTTGATGTAAACTGCTCGGATGCGTCAGGCAAGACGGCCCTCCACATTGCTTCGGAAAATGGACATTTGCAAACGGTTAAATGCCTTATCCATCATGGAGCAAAAGTGAATGTGGTGGATGCTAACCTACAGACATCGGTTCACTTATGCTCAAAGGAAGGCCATCTTCATGTGGTAGAGCTGTTAGTGAACGAAGGAGCAGATATTGATTTTGGTGACAACATCGGGGTAACAGCTCTTCACATAGCATCATTCAAGGGCCATCTTGATATTGTCAAATACCTTGTTAGGAAAGGGGCACAGCTTGACAAATGTGACAAAAAAGGCAGGACTCCCTTGTCTTGTGCTTCCCAAAAAGGCCATCTCCAAGTCGTGGAGTTTATTGTAAACGAAAGAGCAGGCATTGGAATTGATGATAAAGAAGGGTTTACAGCTCTTTACATTGCGTCCTTCAAGGGCCATCTTGATATTGTCAAATACCTTGTTAGGAAAGGGGCACAGCTTGACAAATGTGACAAAAACGACAGGACACCCTTGTGTTGTGCTTCCCAAAAAGGCCATCTTGAAGTCGTCGAGTTTATTGTGAACGAAGGAGCAGACATTGAAATTAGTGATAAAGACGGGTTTACAGCTCTTCACATAGCATCATTCAATGGTCATCTTGATATTGTCAAATACCTTGTTAGTAAAGGGGCAGACCTGGGGAGACTAGGTAATGATTACTATACACCTCTACTCCTTGTTTTAGACGGTGGCCATCTTGACATTGCAGATTACCTTTTGACAGAAGGAGCCAACATTAACACGTGTGGTAAAGGTGGATATTCAGCTCTACATACTGCATCACAAACTGGTGATATTGATGTAGTGAAATATCTAACCAGTCAAGGAGCAGAGCTGGATAGGAGCACTGACGATGGTTGGACCGCACTTACTTTGGCTTCATTTGGCGGACGCCTTGACATTGTCAAATTCCTTGTTAGTAAAGGCCGGGGCTCAGCTTGACAAATGTGATAAAAACGACAGGACACCCTTGTTTTATGCTTCTCAAGAAGGCCATCTTGAAGTCGTCGAGTATATCGTGAACAAAGGAGCAGGCATTGAAATCGGTGATAAAGATGGGTTTACAGCTCTTCACATAGCATCACTCAAGGGTTATCTTGATATTGTCAAATACCTCGTTAGTAAAGGGGCAGACCTGTGGAGACTTGCTGATGATTACTGGACACCTTCAGGCCTTGCTCTTAATGGTGGCCATCTGGATATACATGAATTTCTTTTAAATAGAGAAGCAAGAAAGATCGTTAAGCCATTCATTGGGTTTGAAGAGGACCACTATGACTACATTCGCAGTACGTTTGGTAGTAAGGCTCTCCATAGCTTAATGCCCCGCCCATACTCCCCAACATACGATCCATATCTTACCAGTAAACAAGACAGCTCTAGCTCCTCGAGGAAGAGTATCACAGAAGAGACAAAGATTATAAGTCTGGACGAGTACAGCATCAAGGTTCCAATTTCACCAGACGATGTGGACAGAGCCAAATATATCACAGCAGAAGCATTGACAACCATTCCACCTGACTTAAAGCTGGACAAAGACGAAGTTATCATCTCAGTTGGGCTCAAGCTATCCCCTCCTGGTCTTCAGTTTAAAACTCCGGTGGAAGTCACGGTCTCGCATAGCGCTATTTTCACCAACCCAGACAAGGCAGAAATTGTGCTATACACCCGAAGGACTGGTAAGATCTCCCTATTACCATAGATCCCATATTTCCATATAAATTCCTTCTCTTGTTGTGACAGTGCAGAGAGCCCCTGACTGCCACGACGAACCCATCACAATTATGACAGAGATCTTCACACAAAATCCTTCCCTACTATTCTTGATATCATATGACCTCACTTCAATGTTGACATTCCTCTGGGAATGTTCTTATTCACTGAGTTTTACTTGATAAATTTCTATTAGAATAGAAATTCGCTTGAAATAAAATCTGTTTCAGTCTTTGTGTTTGAATAACTTTTACATCGCACAGTTCAAACAGCCGCTCTTTTCGGGATTCTTGTAGAAAGATCGAAAGAAAGTATGAGAATGATTTAATGCATAAAACATTTTGTTAATAGCCAATTACCAAAAAGCATTTGACATTTTTGTTTACGTCATTGACCATCATAGTCAACAATTACCCTCCAACAAGGCTCCTCAGTGAACCCGCAAAACTTATTTCATTTCTTTATTTGTGAAACTAATCCCAGAGTATGACATTTCACTGCGTAACAAAATTAACACGGTTCCCTCTCTTTTGTTGTTGTTGTTGACAGAGTCTGATGAATTTTCAAGGATATTTCTTGCTTCTGACAAAGCTGCTCGGTGTGTAGTCGCCAAAAATCACCTTACTCTGTACTTAGACCATTTCTCGGAATGGTGGATTATCTCCTTAATCAGGAGATACTTCATCGGTAAACGGCTCATCTGTACGCCCTACGTTCCCCTGTCAACGGCCAGAGATGTCATGAACTACATCTTGCTAATTATTAAAGACGACTTCTGCGGCATGAAAGAGGTAGATTTATCATGAATTAACAGTTCGGTATTATGTTATCTGAAAAAGAATTCAAATAAATAAATGTTGAAATGGACAGAAAATCCTTTAGTAACTCCATGCAGTTTATAGCAAGCAATGGAATTGGGACGGAACGTTTTTTTTACCATGTTCTTTTAATTGCCTTTTGTTGTGCCCCCGGTCTTCCAGTGGTTACGATGTCAATACTTGTTTGTCTAACGTTTTCTTAGCAGAGGGGTCCGTGGTCGGAGGGGGAAGAGGGGGGGGGGGCAGGGTGGTCACAACAAATATCCAAAAAGATACAGATATAATATTAAAAACTGATAAACATTCGCATCTTGAAGTAAATGATTAGTTCGAGACTTTATTTTTACCACCCAGGTGTATCTGAGTCCCTTGCAATTGCTGCAGTACATTGCAGTGCCCTCTGGAAGAACAGCACTATTACAATTATTGCAACTTTTATTATTATTATTACTATTATTGTCATCATCATTGTGTCAATATGGATCCATATATGTTCAACCTTTTGCAGGATACCATACAAGACTACAAGGTAGCCTTTCCTGGTGAGCAGTACTGTGTATATTGGGGACAAGGACCCCTATTTGTCCGACATTTGGAAAACGAAGACGAAGTGTCAACACAGGTAAAAATCTCAATATATTTGATACTGTAGTTTCCCCCGAAGTAAATTATCCTGACAAACAAATCGTCCGTTTCTTATTCGGCATAGTCTAATATATATATTTTTAACCTGGGGACTCAAAGTTACGAGGCCATTGCTTTGCCACTGAATCGTGACTGTTCACAGCGGGGGTTAGGGTAGGGGGCAGCCCCAACAAATCAAAACAAAACAAAGAAAATGCAATAAATGATCAATAATTCATTGAATTTCCCCGGTCCCTAACAGGAACAAATTCCTTTGTACGCCAATGCATTATGGTTCAAGGCATGACCACAGAGGATCGTTTTCTGCTGATGACCGGGGGAAAATGCATTGAATTATTGATAATTTCGTAGGGTGTTAATTTATGGTTATCTCTGATTTTCTTAGGAACTCGAAGAATGTGCTTTCTTTGACATGACGACCCATCGGATGCCGTTCACTCTTCAGCCACGTGAAAAAATAATATCCGGAGTTCTCGTCATATTCATCTTGAAGCAAAAAATCACGAAGCGTATCGCCTGCAAAGTACTGTACAAAGGTAATATCAAGGGCATGCATTCTTTTGGGGAGGGGGTGGCTTAAAGACTTCCACTGGCAGAGAAAAGTGTATTCTTGTGCAGTTCCAGGAATGATTATTTCCTGAGCTTCGGAGTGAAAAACATCAGATTTAACACGAACATAACATTCCACAAACATTATTTCTTTCTTTTTAGGCGTTTTAAATAAGTTGTGTAAGAAAGACGTTAATCACAGAATGCGGAGAAACAGGGTATGAAACACTGAAACGGATGGCTCAAGACCGAGAAACTTGGAGAGACACTTGATATAACATTTTGATTGGGTCACTGAACCTGTCATAAACTGACAGATCACTATTGATGATGAAGAAAGACGTGAGATTTTACGAATTCAAAAAACGCATTTTTATTGATACTAAACAAAAAAGCTCCTGAAAACAAAACTGAACTCTCTACCAGTTTTGTCGATCCTGGTATCATTTGTTCATGTGATATGATTCTACTACTGCTGGTACTAGTGAATTCGACCAATATCATTGGAACTAAGCTAGGCCGTGTATACAGCGCCACCCTGTACCGTATTATGTACGTTATTGTTTACGTGCAACGCTACACAGTTCATTTGGTGTAGCAAAAGCACAATGGCAAGTGACTCCAATTTGGAATAGTAATCATTTTAGGCTAATCGCTTCTCATCACGTTAAAATCATGTATTCACAATTCAGATGTGCCGCATGAGAATCCAATTGCCCAATCAACTCCGACAGGATCTGCATCGTCCAAAGGCAAAGCTGAACCAACTGATGTTGCACGGGGAACATCCAAATGTAAGATTTAAACCAAAAATATATTAATATTTTGTTTGGTTTTGATATGCAGGGCATCGTTTTACGAAACTGTCATGGGTACAAGTGAAAAACGTGTGTAAAAATATAACACGCTTTCAATGGGATGTCGGTGAGCTTGTTATAATTATGAAACAATGTCCTTATCTTGAGAAAATTTGAACAAAATCGAAACAAATAACGTTGTGAGTGAGCTTTTAATCTTGTGATTTACTCTCATGAGTGCAAGATGAAAAGCTTTTTTGTATTTGTGCTATTCTGATTTGATTGATTATTACATTTTCAGCACCACAGCTCCCCGGAGAGCAGTCAAGAAGCGAGCATCATCTTGAAACGATAGGTTCAACATCACCTGAGCCTGCAGACACAAAGGGTAAGACTATGTCCTATCAGGAGCGGTTCTGGAGAAATACATGTATAAATATTACCGTTTTTTTTTTGGAGGGCGCATCGGGATGCAGGGGATTGTTTTCTTCTAATTATCATTTTCTACATGTGCTCTTTTTTGGGGGGGGGGGGGCTCTAGAATCGCTACTGCGGCCTATATTTTTGAAATTGGCCTTTGTTTTAAATATCCTTTAATGTATTATCATTGTATTTTTAAACCGTATAATTTCTACTCTGTAAATTTAACAATTGTATCTCTTCACTACATGTTCCATGATATTTTCTCAATCATGTCAATACAAAAGAGTAATACAATACAATTCAAGGGTCAACATGCGATAGATAACGGATCAATCAGAGTTCTTTACAGCACAGGTCGGAGTCTGGTTTTAATCATTTTCTTAAAGCCTTTTTTACGTTGCTTTATTTCAGATAGAAGTAGTCATACTGAAGTCCTTACAAGACCTAGACCGTTGACTCCACCATCGATAGAGTCACCGCCATGTGAACGTGCCTACCAAGTCACACATGAATTGATAACAGAGACAGAGACAGTTGGTAAGGAGCTGAGAGATAAAGTCGTGTTCTAGGCTCAGTAACAACACAAATGTAAATTGATCCTCCAAAAAAATAAGCTTATCTCCTCAATCAATCATAATTTTAAGGTGAAATTTGATGTTATGTTACAGATAGTAACGAACGAAATCCTTTGGCAAAACATTATTGTTAATAATTATGCTACACTCGATCCATGTGTAATAAGTGGGCAGGCTACCTGAAACGGTTGCTGGAACTTAACCGTGGTAATAATATCTAAAGCCCTTGAGAAGCACATTATTGTGATATACGCTTATTTCCTTTACATGCTCTACGGAAATTTGAACGATGTAATTGATTAATACTTCATATCATCTCTGTGTTCGTTTTGTTTTCAGCTTTGATGTCATCTAAAGTGCCCATCTATTCATTAGAGTCTGCAGCAGAGGGGGGAATGGGAGTCCTAGTCCCAGCAGAATGGTTAAATGTGGTGTTAATCATTTTCTAAAAACCTCCTTTTTAACGTTGCTTTATTTCAGACGGAAGTAGTCCTACTGAAGTCCTTACAAGACCTAGCCCTTCGATTTCATCGGCAGATCCACTGTCACGGGAACATGCCTACCGAGTCACACATGATTATGTAACAGAGACAGTAGCTCCACCAGCGTGTGCGGCACACATTGTCCAAGAATTGGTTCCAGGACTTTCAGCCCACCAAATGCACCCGCGTTCTGGGAACGTCTATAATATTATCAACGTCAAAGAGATGGTCATCAACAATCCCAAAGGGAATCATTCTGAAGGAAATACTGTTGCCCCTGCCCCTGTTCCAATTTCTTCCACAGTACCTCCTTTGCTACAGCATGAGCTGCGTTGTCGGTTGAACAGGGAAAGCCCAGTTTTTGATGACTGGAGGGGTCTTGCCAATCAGCTTGAACTTCAAGACTACATACAATCACTGGTCCAGAGCAGTGCAAGAATCCGACTAAAGAACTACTCGTTCTTGCTGAGAGTCAAAAGAAGATTCAGAATCTTGGGGACTTGGCCAAGGCGTTCGAACGCATGAATCGTGGGGATTGTCAAGAGCTCTGCGAGAACTATGCGTTTGAGAGAACAAAGTCAGCTGATCCTCGGAAGGATCAAATGGAAGATGATGACACAGACACCAGTGATTAGGGAACAGGCTCAATGTGTTCCACATCACCCTTTAATCCAGGGTCTACGGACAACCTGTGAACATAGCAATATATGGTTGTTGTAATCCACCTACAGCCTGTCATTTGGTTTAGAAAACCACAATCATTAGATTTGCTAGAAAAATTTAAAGCTAAAGAAAAGGTATACTCTAAGAAAGGTTCGTACTCCCCTGATCATTGAAGACATATCTAGAGAGGAAATATCATGTTTAAAATAAAACTTAAATCTTAGACCAATTTCCTTTTTGAACCCGCTTTTTAGACAAAAGTCTCAATCCAGCGTCCGGTTTAAATATTAGTACTATTCAGGCCTTTGGAATTGACCAAACATTGGTCAAAGGGGAAATATGCATGCATTTTGGGTATATTACTACCCAATATTGCGTAAACCTTGTTTAATTGTGAGTACAATATACCCATTATTATGTAAACGCTCGCCCTCTTGTTATATGTTTCGCTGCATCAAGATTATTACATTGATTGCTTTTACAAGAACAAAGAAGTGATATTCACTCTTGAAATATTCATCGATTTTAAGAAAGCAACTTTGACACATTTAATCATAATACTACTTGCAAAACTCTCTTATAATGGCATTCGAGGTTACCTCGTGTATGGTTTAAGGACTATCTCAGTAGCAAATCCCATATTGTTCAATGTGGTCAAACGTTGTTTGAATGGAATAAGATAAGATGTGGTGTTCCACCAGGATCAGTACTAGGGCGAACTCTGTTTTTAACTATATATTATGATCTGCCATCATTAACTGATTATTTCAATTTAGTGCTGTTAATTTGCAAATGATTCTATTACATAAGTCACACTTTTCCAGCTGACCAGTGCGAAATTAATGTGGATGAAGTAATTTACAACACACAGAAAAATTGGTACATTGCTAACAAACTTACAACTAGTTCAATGAAAACTTATATCATGTTCATAAGAAGTATGAGTAAAAATAGGTATAAATGGTCAACTGAAAGTTAGCTGGATAGGATATCAAAGAGGTTGATGTTTCCACTTATGATAGACATCTATCATGGAATAGCCATATTCGTTGTGTAAATCAGTGTATTAGGAAGACAGTTAGAGTGTTATTTAGATTGCGACATTTTGTTCCTAGGCTTATTTAACATTATCATTACAACGTAAATAGAACCACACATAATCTGTGGAATATTGGTGTGGGGGAAGCAATACAAGGTCAGAATACTTAGTTAGAATCATAATGTATTTACAGAAAATTGCTGTTCGTTTTTATTTTTTAATTAGAGAGTGGGAAACTCTTACAGCTCCACTCCTTAATAGATTGCGAATCTTAACTTTGCATAATTTGGATGATTGATCTGTATAATAAAAATTTGCCTTTTCTTTTGATAGATCATTGTGACATTCTACATTATAGCTACTCCAGAAGACAAACAGAAGGTGGAAAATTACGTCTCCCAAAATTTAGAACGACACAAAAATCTATTTTCATTGTCTCTTGTGATTAGTTACTTGATTACCTATTAATGTCAGATTCTGTTACAACACATTTGTGGAACAAATCATTAATTACAAATCATTGCGAATAGTCTATATGTATACACATATTCTATTTCATATTATCAGTTTGTATCTTGTACGACATTGTTAGAGAATTTGTTTGTCTTAGTATCGTTTGTATAATGGTAAATTCATTTTTCCCCTGAAGGTTACTTGTACAGAAAACATTGTTTAGCTGTAAGGCGTAAGGATCGACTAGCACATATGTTATTATGTTGCCCCTTTTACCAACCTATATTTTATCTTCTTGTATAATAATTGTGGCAGTTCGTGCTTTTTGTGCATGTAGAAAGTGGAGAACTCCTACAGCGCACCTACTTAAAAGATTGTGAATCCTAACTTTTTATAATTTGGATTATTTAACAATCTCTATTTTTATGTTTGCTCTTTTAAATAATATGTTTCCTCATATTTTGATAGATTACTATAATATTCTAGAATAAAGCTACTCCAGAAGGCAAACAGAAAGTGGACAATTATACGTCTTCAAAAATTAAAACGACACAAGGTCGATTATTATTGTCTTTTGTGGTAACTAAAATTTTGGAATAGATTACCTGCTAATGTCAGATTCTGTTACAACAAATTTGTTGATCAAATCATCAATACAAAATCTATGCAAATAGTCTGTATATGTACAAAAATTATATTTGATATTATAAGTTTGTATCTTGTAAGACATTGTTATTGAAGCCTATTTTGTTAGTATCGATTGTAAGGGTAGATTCCTTTTTTGTTTGTTTTCCGAAGGTTACTTGTACAAATTACATTGTTTAGTCGAATGCGTTAGGATCGGCTAGCAAATATAATATTATCTAGCCCCTTTTACCAACCAATATTTTCTCTTCTTGTACATATAAATATCGTTGTATGAAATGCATGGTACTTATTTGCTGTTGGTAAATCAATCAATCAAACACAAAAATCTAATACAAATTCCAAACATTAACAGGATTGTAACTATAAAAGTGATGAACATGTATATGGAAATAAATTAGCATTAACTCAAATCACATCAAATGAAATAAATTCAACATTTGAAAGTATCCAGAAGGAACCACAGGTGTTTGAAAGAACATATTTTGTTTACGATGATGAACAATGGGGCTTCGATGAGCTCATATTGCTTTCTAAAGGAGCAATTCAGGAGGCAGGTGGGAGTAGGAGGGCAACAACCGGCAAACGCAACATCCATCTTCATTTAACAAGTAAATGAGGGTAAATTCATCTTCATTTAACAGCTACATGAAGAAAAATTAATCTTCGTTCACAGCTAAATGAGGATAAATTAATCTTCGTTCACACAGTAAAATAAGGATAAATTAATCTTCGTTAACACAGTTAAATGAGGATAAATCCATTTTCATCTAACAGTTAAATGAGGATAAATTCATCTTCGTTAACAGCTAAATGAGAATTAATTCATCTTCGTTCACAAAGTAAAATATGGAAAAAATAATTTTCGTTATCAATTCATCTTCGTTAACAGCTAAATGAGGATGAATTAATCTGGATTAACACAATTGATTGAGGTTAAATTAATCTTCATTAACAGCTAAAAGGAGGATAAATTAATTTTCGTTCATACAGTAAAATAAGGATAATTAATCTTCTTTAACACAATTAAATGAGGATAAATTCATTTTCATCTAACAGCTATATGAGGATAAATTAATCCTCGTTTAGACAGTAAAATAAGGATAAATTAATGTTCGTTAACACGAGAGGATGAATTCATCTTTGCCAACCTTCGTTCAAAGCAGCTAAAAATGAGGATAAATTCATCTTTGACAACACCGTATATTGAGGATAAATTTAATCTTGTTTAAGGTACTACCTCCCATTTGCAGGTCAAAACAAAACGAAAAGGTTAAATTCCAACGGCGTTCGAAAGGAAAAACCTTATTAAGAACTCTCTCAAAACGAAAGGGTTTGAAAATGGCTTTTGTGGGAAATAACAACCATTAATTGTCAGATCGACATAAAAGATTGCAACAACCTAAGTAATAGTCTGAAATTCAGACCCTTGTACCACCATGGTCGGACGTTTAGTGCTGCTGAGGACTCTGGCATGTCTCCAAATGGAACTTAAAATGCTGCTGAGCTGTGCAATGAGGTGTATGAATAAGGAGAACTGAACATTGCATGCAAAAAATACATGTACCAACTTTTTACATTTTACAATACCAATTTTTAGGGGAATTGCCGTCTTATTTTGCTGAAGCTTCACGTCTTTCCTTTTCAATACACTCACAATACAAATTGCGTAAGCACCGTCGCACGCGCAGATCGGTCGATACCTCGATTCATTTCCCCATTTTCAATGATTGTCGTCTGCTAAAGCTCGGACGATTATCAACCGAGCCATAAATAATAGGCCTAAGCCTTCGTGGTTTTACATGGGTTTTCGACACATTTTGTAACTATATTCTGACCAACATTATGCCATGATCTACACTAAATGCCCTTTTTTTAAATATGCAAATCAAATATAGGACTATTTGGGAAATGAATTATGAGATGAACATTGTTTCATTCTCGAAAACAAAAATAATATTTACTTTGAATGCTTTCGACTTCGTTTCTCATAATTTGAAATATTCATTTTGTTTTAGTTTTTGCCTCCCGCTTAATTTTGTTTATTTTTTCTCTGTCTATACATCTCTTTGAACCCTATTTTGATATGAGGTTGCTGTATCAATAAAATATTTATTGAATTTTTGTACGCATATTTGATTTGTTTTGTTTGTAATGGAAAGAGCTAAATCAATGACAGAGATTACAACAAAATCATAATTCATCACAATCATCTCTCTCTCTCTCTTTCTATCTATTTATCTATCTATCTCTGTCTGTCTATGTCTGTCTCTCTGTCTCTCTGTCTCCCTCCTACCCCTCCCTCTCTGAATACGTCAGGAATTTTGTGAAATTGGAATTGTGCTTCAGTGTGTTTTATTTCCGCATCGCGTCGTTTTTGTTTGTTGTTGAAAGGGTGTGGCTAATAAGGAGTTAATCGCCGTAGTCTTGGTAGTCTTTTATTTATTCGAAAATAAATGATATTGAAAATATAGTAATCCATTATAATATGAAACAATAAAGAAAGAAGTGCAAACAACGTGAGAATTTAATTTATTTGTCTTCGTCTCCATCTGTGTTTTTGTTCAACATATCGTGTCAATAAAACTTTGATAATCCTCGTTTCATGATTAGTTCTGTAGATGGCATGGACATGTAAACCGGTACATGAAATGATGGTGATGATGCTCACAATATTGTAATAAAATAGTAATGATAATAACAATTATTTACTTCATCGTGCACTCGCTTTTCTTCATTGCCAGAAAACTTGATTTTATGTTGCCTTGCATTTTTTTTCTTCAACAATGGTAGCATCTTTGCGCCGGAAAAGTCTCATATTCGTGGCTTTACCGCCGAAGTTGCTCAAGACAAGAGTGATATGATAAGAGTAAGGGGTCGTTTTTCAGAACATAACATTTCAACATTTCATATGCCCGCTCAAACCAAGACCGGCTTTTTTTATTTAGGTTGATCAAGATATTTTACTCATACCTGCTCTAAAATGGTTAAATGCCCTAGTTAAGGTATATAAGTTAGAGTGGTTGTTCGTATTGTCATGTAGATTGACCTATTGACCTACGTTTAGGCTTACATCCTCTTCTTTCAAAACGGTAAACTTCCAGACTAGTTACTTCTTTAAAATCTTTTGTTCCTCTTAAGGTGGGGGATAAGCCTTTCATAAAAGAGGTCCATACATGAATGATTCGCTAAATTGGTCAAGTTTATAAAATGAACAGCGTATTGTCATGTAAATACCCTACATCGATAAGGCTTAGATTTAAATAGTATATGATGAAGAAAATGCCACACCGCCGGTAGGGTAGTTGTTAAATGAATGAACTGATAAGCTAACATTATGCACAACTATATCATCCTTTAAAGTTCTATTGAAGAGACAGTTGGTCTCTTCTTATTTCCCTTAACTCTTTCTTTTTCTTGCAATGTACCATGCATGTGTGTGCGTGTGTGTGTGTGTGTGTGTGTATCTATAATGTGTAGTATATTATTTATATATTGTTATTATTGTCGTAACGTATACAACCATGTAATCTCGTTATTTATTATTTATGCCAGGGGACTATTTTACTTACAAGTTTTTCAAACTTCCTTTTTAGTCTCCAATTTCTTAATTCCAATATTATAAGATTATGATTGTTTCATGTTACTTTTGTATATATATTATGTTATGGTTTTATGATTGAAATAAATGAACTGAACTGAACTGAGATATATATAAAAAAAGTAATCAGGGTCGAAATCGAACTGATAATACGACCCGTAATACGAATATCTGAAAAGGGGAAGTGTGCATACGGAACTTGGAAGTAGCGTCAAGCCAGAATCCTGGCAAGAATATAGAACGGACGCGCGCGTACGCGTCCGTCTTCAGCTGTACGGGTATTTCGGGCCTTTTTTTCCATCCGAACACTAACTTAGAGTAAAGCTGAAATGATATCACTTTTTCTCGATTTTTTTCTACGTAACTATATTATTTTTTTAATAGATGAGATAAATGAATATATCTAAATAATAATTCAAAGAACTTTAGCACATAATAGCTAATAATAAGCTGCACAACTTTGTCAACATATTAGGGATATGTCTCGGCTTCTGTAGAAACCCGTCGTCACAGACTTAACAACTCGCTCGGCTGCTGTAGAAGCCCGTCGTCTCCAAAGTGTTAAACGAACAATGGTCTAGTTTATGACAGTGTTAATGCAATTCGACCCTCTTAGTAACCTACGATTCGATTCAGTTTCGGTTTGTCAACGTTGATTACGTGTGAACGTCTGTTATATCTCGTTTTATTGTTCAATTAAAATTCATACCATCAAACTACAACTCGTTTTCTGATTGATTATTGTTATATGTGAGTATCGCCACTAAGCCGAGTACAATCCATGTGACACTCAGAATAGTCCAAAGATCATCGATACTAAAGGATACGTGCTTATTTAAACAGTACTTCAATATCAAATATCATGATGTTAGGAAAGCACGGTAATATCATGAGGAAAACATTGTAGGTGTGAATTACGTTTAACATGGCGCTGTTTTCTGCAGCGGCAATAGGAGACGTCCAGAAGATACAATCATTAATCGACTCAGAAGACAAGTCCGAGGATTCGATAGGAGTTGATGTAAACTGCTCGGATGCATCTGGCAAGACACCCCTTCACATTGCTTCGGCAAACGGACATTTGCAAACGGTTAAATGCCTAACCAATCATGGAGCAAAGGTGAATGTAATCGATGCTAACCTACAGACATCGGTTCATTTATGTTCAAAGAAAGGCCATCTTCATGTGGTAGAGCTGTTAGTGAACGAAGGAGCAGATATTAAAATTGGCGACAAAGATGGGTTTACAGCTCTTCACATAGCATCATTCGAGGGTCATGTTGACATTGTCAAATACCTTGTTAGTAAAGGGGCAGAGCTGGAGAGACTTGCTAATGATTATTGGACACCTCTACACCTTGCATTAAATGGTGGCCATCTTGACCTTGCAGAGTACCTTTTGACAGAAGGAGCCAACATTAACTCGTGTGGTGAAGGTGGATGTACAGCTCTACATGCTGCATCACAAACTGGTAATATTGATGGAGTGAAATATCTTACTAGTCAAGGAGCAGAGCAAGATAAGATCACTGAGGATGGTTGGACCGCGCTTAGTCTGGCTTCATTTAGGGGACACCTTGACATTGTCAAAGTTCTCGTTAACGAAGGGGTACAGGTTGACAAAGCACTCAGGAACGGGATGACACCATTGTGTCTTGCAACAGAAAAAGGCCATTTGGGTATTGTCGAAGTCTTACTGAACGTAGGAGCAAATATTGATGACTGTAACCGAGACGGGCTAACAGCACTCCACATTGCAGCGTCCAATGGACACGTTGAAATAGTGCATCATCTCATTAGCAAAGGGGCACATCTTGACAAATGTGACAAAACCGAAAGGACACCCTTGTTTTGTGCTTCTCAAAAAGGCCATCTTGAAATCGTCGAGTATATCGTGAACAAAGGAGCAGGCATTGAAATTGGTAATAAAGATGGGTTTACAGCTCTTCACAGTGCATCCCTCAAGGGTCATCTTGATAATGTCAAATACCTCGTTAGTAAAGGGTCAGACTTGGGGAGACTTGCTAATGATTACTGGACACCTCTACATCTTGCTTTAGACGGTGGCCGTCTTGACATTGCAGAGTACCTTTTGACAGAAGGAGCCAACATTAACACGTGTGGTAAACGTGGATATACAGCTCTGCATACTGCATCACAAACTGGTAATATTGATGGAGTAAAATATCTAACCAGTCAAGGAGCAGAGCTGGATAGGAGCACTGACGATGGTTGGACCGCGCTTAGTTTGGCTTCATTCGGGGGACACCTTGATATTGTAAAAGTTTTCGTTAACAAAGGGGTGGAGGTTGACAAAGCACTCAAGAACGGGACATCATCCTTGTGTCTTGCAACAGAAAGAGGTCATCTGGGTATTGTCGAGGTCTTACTGAACGTAGGATCAAATATTGATAGCTGTAATCAAGATGGGGGTACAGCTCTTCACAACGCATCATTCAAGGGTCATCTTGATATTGTCAAATGCCTTCTTATGAAAGGGGCACAGCTTAACAAATGTAACAAAAACGACAGGACACCCTTGTCTTGTGCTTCTCAAGAAGGCCATCTTGAAGTCGTCGAGTATATCGTGAACAAACGAGCAGACATTGAAATTGGTGATAAAGATGGGTTTACAGCTCTTCACCTAGCAGCATTCGCGGGTCATTTTGATATTGTCAAATACCTCGTTAGTAAAGGGGCAGACCTGTGGAGACTTGCTGATGATTACTGGACACCTTCAGGCCTTGCTCTTTATGGTGGCCATCTGGATATACATGACTTTCTTTTAAATAGAGAAGCAAGAAAGATCGTTAAGCCATTCATTGGGTTTGAAGAGGACCACTACGACTACCTTCGCAGTACGTTTGGTAGTAAGGCTCTCCCTAGCTTAATGCCCCGCCCATACTCCCCAACATACGATCCATATCTTACCAGTAAACAAGACAGCTCTAGCTCCTCGAGGAAGAGTATCACAGAAGAGACGATGATTATAAGTCTCGACGAGTACAGCATCAAGGTTCCACTTTCACCAGACGATGTGGACAGAGCCAAATATATCACAGCAGAAGCATTGACAACCATTCCACCTGACTTAAACCTGGACAAAGACGAAGTTATCATCTCAGTTGGGCTCAAGCTATCCCCTCCTGGTCTTCAGTTTAAAACTCCGGTGGAAGTCACGGTCTCGCATAGCGCTATTTTCACCAACCCAGACAAGGCAGAAATTGTGCTATACACCCGAAGGACTGGTAAGATCTTCCTATTATCATAGATCCCATATTTCAATATAAATTCCTTCTCTTGTTGTGACAGTGCAGAGCCCCTGACTGCCACGACGAACCCATTACAATTATGACAGAGATCTTCACACAAAATCCTTCCCTACTATTCTTGATATCATATGACCTCACTTCAATGTTGATATTCCTCTCAGAATGTTCTTATTCACTGAGTTTTACTTGATAAACTTCTATTAGAATAGAAGTTCACTTTAATTTTTCTTTTCAGTCTTTGTATTTGAATAACTTAAAAGTCGCACAGTTCATACAGCCGCCAATTTCCAGATTCTTGTGGAAAGATCGTGGGAAATTGTGGGAATTGAACAAACAAAAATTAAGCATGATCTAATACATGAAATTGTTTGTTAATAACCAATCACCAAATAGCAGTTGACATTTTTAACGACATTGCTCATAAATTAACAATGACCCTCCAACAAAGCTTCCCAGTCAATCTGCGAACCTTACCCCCCAAAAATACTTTCCTTTCTTCGGTATACTAAATCCCAGAACATTGACAGTTCACTGCGTAACAAAATTAACACGGTTCCCTCTTTCTGTGTGTGTCTTGTTGAAAGGGTCTGATGAATTTTCAAGGATAGTTCCTGGTTCTGACAAAGCTGCTCGGTGTGTAGTCGCAAAGAATCACCTTACTCTGTACTTAGATCATTTCTCGGAATGGTGGATTATTTCCTTAATCAGGAGATACTTCATCGGTAAACGGCTCATCTGTACGCCGTACGTTCCCCTGTCAACATCCAGAGACGTCATGAACTACATCTTGCTCAATATTAAAGATGACTTCTACGGCATGAAAGAGGTAGATTAATCATGAATTAACATGTCGATAAAATTTTAGCCGAAAAATGAATTTGAATTAAATGGACAGGAAATCCTTTGGTAAGTCCATGCAACTTATATACATTTTATTTTTGTTTGTTTAGAAAACACTGGAATTGGGACGAAAAGTTTTTTTATCATGTTCATTGAAATAACTTGCTTTTTGTGTCCCCGGTCTTCCAGTGGCTACGATGTCAATACTTGTTTGTGTAACGTTTTCAGAGTAGAGGGATCCGCGGACGAAATGGGGGGGGGGGGGGGGGAGGGAGGGGGCGGAGGTGGTCACAACAAATGTAAAACAAATCACAGATATAATATTAAAACCCGATAAACATTTCGCATCTTGAAGTAAATAATCAGCTCGAAACTCATAAAAGGTTCACCCATAATTCCCGCAGGGTGTATACCTTGCGATTGCTGCAGTACATTGCAGTGCCCTCTAGAAGAACAGCATTTTTGCAATTATTTCAACTATTATTATTATTATTACTATCATTGTCATCATCATTGTGTCATTATGGATCCATATAATGTTCAACCTATTGCAGGATACCATACGAGACTACAAGGAAGCCTTTCCTGGTGAGCAGTACTGTGTATATTGGGGACAAGGATCCTTATTTGTCAGACATCTGGAAAACGAAGACGAAGTGTCAACACAGGTAAGAATCTCAATATATTTAATACTGTAGTTTCCCCCGAAGTAAATTATCCTGACAAACAAATCGTCCGTTTCTTACTCGGCATAGCCTAATATATATATTTTTATCCTGGGGACTCAAAGTTACGAGGCCATTGCTTTACCACTGAATCGTGACTGTTCACAGCGGGGGTTAGGGTAGGGGCAGCCCCCTACAAATAAAAACAAAACAAAGAAAAGGCAATAAATTATCAATAATTTATTGAACTTCCCCCGGTCCCCAACAGAAAAAAATCCTCTGTACGGCCATGCACAATGGTTCAAGTCATGACCACAGAGGATCTTTTTCCGCTGGGGACCGGTGGAAAATGCAATGAATTATTGATAATTTCGTAGGATGTTAATTCATGGTTATCTCTGATTTTTTTAAAGGAACTTGAAGAATGTGCTTTCTTCCACATGACGACCCATCGGATGCCGTTCACTCTTCAGCCACGTGAAGCATCTGAAGTTCCCGTCAAATTCATCTTGAAGCAAAAAATCACGAAGCGTATCGCCTTCAAAGTACTGTACAACGGTAATATCAAGGGCATGAACTCCTTTGGGGTAGGGGTGTCTTAAAGACTTCCAATGGCAGAGAAAAAGCGTATTCTTGTGCAGTTTCAGGAATGGTTATCTGCCTGAGCTTCGGACAACCTGTGACAAAACATCAGATTTAACACAAACATAACATTCCACAAACATTATTTCTTTCTTTTTAGGCGTTTTAAATAAGTTGTGTAAGAAAGACGTGAGATTTAACGAATTCAAAAAACGCATTTTTATTGATACTGAACAAAAATGCTCCTGAAAACAAAAAGGAACTCTTTACCAGTTTTGTCGATCCTGGTACAATTTTTTCATGTGAAAAGATTCTACTACTGCTTGTACCATTGAATTTGACCCGCATCATTATAAATATGCTAATGCGTATACATTGGGCTAGCCTGTATGCATGTATATATGTATATGTATATATTTATATTAAATGTACATTATTTTTTACGTGCAATGCTATACAGTTCATTTGGTGTAGCAAAAGCACCATGGCAATTGACTCCAATTTGGAATAATAATCATTTTAGGCTAATCGCTTTTCATCACGTTGATATCATGTTTTCACAATTTAGATGTGCCGCACGAGATTCCAAATGCCAAATCAACTCCGACAGGATCTGCATCGTCCAAAGGCAAAGCTGAATCACATGATGTTGGACGGGGAACATCCAAATGTAAGATTTAAAGACAAACATTAATACTATTTTTCCCTTCTTTTTTTTTTCCATACACAAACCTTTTCATATGCAGGGCAACGTTTCAAGAAACCTTCATGGGTAAAAACGAGTGTAAAAATAACACGCATTCAGTGGAATTCGGCGAGCTTGTTACATGAAACAATTTCCTTATTGTAAAGAGACGATTGGAACGAAATCGAACAAATGACCCTGTATTTGTCCTATTCTGATTTGATTTTGATTGATTATTGCATTTTCAGCATCTCAGCTCTTCGAAGAGCTGACGAGAAGCGAGCATCATGATCTTGAAACGATAGGTTCAACATCACCTGAGCCTGCAGACACTAAAGGTAAGACTATGGCCCATCAGGAACGGTTCTGGAGGAATACATATGTATATGTTGTTTTTTTTTTTTTTTTTGGGGGGGGGGGGGGCAGGACGGGGGGGGGGGGGTATCAGGGCGTGGGGTCTTCTAGCAATCGTCTGTTAATGTGCTTCTTTGGGGGGAAGGGGAGGGGCATTAGAACCGCTACTGCGGCCTATATTCCTGAAAGTGGCCTTTGTTTTAACCCTAATAAGGCCGGGCTATTTGAAGTATTACTACGGCCGGGGGGGGGGGCCATTATGGCCCCCCCCCCAAGATCTCGGCCGTGAAACGGCCGATCTCCGCAAAAATTTGCACGCATGTCAAGTGAAGTGTATAGAACAATATGATAATTTCAATTTTTTGAAAAAAATCACTCATTTGCATATTTATGGTAATTTATGCAAATAACGTCATAAAATCACATTTTTACCCATAAATCATATATAATTCATATTTAAGCATTCTTTTTCACTACATATATTCATTAGACCAATTGGAACAATAATACGACAAAAAACAGCTTATTCCTTATTTTATCTCTTGTTTTGATAATTTCTTATGTATTTCATTGTTTTTTTAACTTATGTATGTTATTGTTTTTTTGTTTTTTTCATTTCTTCCTACAATTCAACTATTTAGACTCCCAAGACAACCACCTAAACTTTAAACAAGACCCAATAACCAATGTTTGATCTATTTTTAGGAAAAATGACATTTCCATACGTTTTGTACTCAAATCACAAAAATGAGCGATTTTCGGGCTGACATGCAAAGACAAAAGGTCACGTGACCTTGTAACTGTAGGTCCGATTTTTTTTTTTTTTTTTTTTAAAGATGCGCAAGACTCTTAAAAAAAAAGTCAGCGAGCGGCGAGGCGCGATCCATATGCGTTCTCGAACAATCAAAAAAATCGTGGAGGGGGGGGGGGGGGGGCATAATGGCCCCCCGGCCTTATTAGGGTTAAATCATTTCCTTTATTATATTATTGATGTATTTTTAGGTGATACGTAACGAAGTCAACGTATCACCTTTTGATTTCGTCAAGATTTTTCTTTATTATTATTATTATTATTATTATTTATTTTTATTATTCTTCCTCGAATTTGTTCGCAGGATATCTCAAGACTGAATAAAGCCATTATCATGAAACTTTCAATGATGATAGATCTTAGTCTAACTTAGAACTGTGTGACTTTTCAGACAGTCAAGGTCATCGTGACGTCATCCAGGCGCCATTTTGTGAAAATCAACTTATGATCATATCTTCATAAAGGAAAGCCATTTTTCATTCATATTTATCATGATCAAACTCAATATCCGTCCGGTCAATTTCAAGTCAATAAATGCGCGCAAAAATGCGCGTACGCTTATGTCCGCGCGTTTACGCGCGCGAAAAAAATTAAAATGCTCCAAATCATCCCAATTTTTTTTTACATCCGTTTCAGGCCATATGGAGCATTTGATAAAAAAATTACGCACACGCGCATGCGCGCGCATTTTCGCGCGTACTGGCATTTTGCAATATAGAATCGCCGAATTTTTTCTGTCATTATATTTGATACATTTTTCCAAGCATTTTGATAACTTGTTCACCTTTTAATAACGCAATGAGCGTCCGTCAAAGTTGACAGCACGCGCAGATCTGCGTTATCTTTATCCACCATACATTGGCAAAAACATGCCTATACAAAATTCATTGTAACTGTTCAGAATGGATGGGAACTCCCAATATGTTTTCATATTTAGATAGATTATGAGTTGTAGATATGATTTCATGTCTCATTTGACCCTCAATTAACTCATGATGTCATCATAATGGCCTCCAAACTCAAAATTTCAATTTGCATATTATGACGTCAGCATATTTTTGGAAAATTAATTGTATCTCTGTAAATATGGATCAATTTTCTTTTAAATTTTGATATGTTCTAGCTGAGACAATTTGCTACAAGTATAGTTCCCACAATTTTTCATTTTGAGTAAGGCATCAAGGCGTACTTTTGTGATTAAAGGAGGCATGTCAATTTTTCACATTTTGCGTGTATTCTCTATGGGACATGACTTTTTCTCAAAACTGGATTCTACACTCCTGTCTTTTGCGAGCGAAATCTCCCATATTTTAGCTTTGTTTTCGCTGAGCTTCGAATATGTTGTAGCTGAGACAATAAGCTATCACACGTGTGCCTTTTATATTTCGATCAGATGCCGGGATTATGCTCATATTTCACTTGCAAAGTAGGATTTCTGAATTCCATTTCCCGTTTACGTGTAATTAATCGCTATGGGAGATGTTTTGTTATATCGGTAACGCACTTGACTTCCAACCTCGAGATCCCTGGTTCGATTCCGGGTGTCTCCAACACTTTTTTTTTCACTTTTTTTTTCCTTTTGACCTTCACTGTACCATCTCCTTTGATTATTTAAACACGTAGATTCGCAAATAATGTCATAAATAACCCTTTTTACTTTATTATTACCCTATTTTCACTTAATCCATTACTTTTTGCGTGTAATCCCTATGGGAGATGACTTTTTTTTTCAAATCTGGATTCTACATTCCTGTCTTTTGCGAGCAATATCGCCGTTATTTCGGCTTGGATTTTGTTGATTTTTGAGTATGTTGTAGCTGAGACTATATGCTATCTAAATCAACCCTCTTTTTTCAATAAGATGTCAAAATCTCGCTCATGATCATGATCATTATCATCATGATCATCATTATCATAATGATGATAATCATTTATCAATTACATTTTCATTTCTTTGAATAAGATAAAATCGTCAAAAGGTGTTCTTCATGATGTAAATTAAAGTCAAATGTGTAACTAGTTACTGCACAGGGTCAAAGGTCATATATTGTTTCTATCTATCTTCCCTAGATCCATGATGATCAAGGAGACAAAATTTAATCTTGACATATGAATAGATCATAATGGGAGAAGCATATAAATGGGAGAAGCATTTTACAAAATAATATATCGTGTAATGCATTATTCGTTATGTAAACCATTATCATACGTATCACCTAATTCGTCTAAGTGACGAATTAAAGTCTAGTATTTATTTTGTGTCTGTATAGAAGAAATTATTATTATTCTTCCTCAATTTTGTTCGCAGGATATCTCAAGAATGGCTAAAGCCATTATCATGAAACTTGCCATGATGATAGATCGTAGTCTAACTTAGAACTGCGTGACTTTTCAAAAAATTAAAGTCATCGTGACGTCATCCAGGCGCCATTTTGTGAAAATCAACTTATGATCATATCTTCATAACGGAAAAGTATTTCTCATTCATAATTATCATGATTAAGATCAATATCCTACCGGTCAATTCCAGGTCAATAAACGTGCGCAAATAAGCGCGTGCGCGTTCATGCGCGCGTTTACGCGCGCGCAAAAATTTAAAATGCTCTAAATCATCCCAAATTTTTTTTGCATACGTTTTAGGCCACATGGAGCATTTGACAAAAAATTATGCTCACGCGCATGCGCGCTCGTTTTTTGCGCGTACTAGCATTTTGCAACATAGAATCGCCGAATTTTCTCTATCATCATATTTGGCACATTTTTCCAAGCATTTTGATAACTTGTTAACCTTTTAATAACGCAATGAGCGTCCGTCAAAGTTGACAGCGCGCGCGGACCTGCGTTTTCTTTATCCACAATACATGAGCAAAAACATGCCTATACAAAATTCTTTGTAACTCTTCAGAATAGATAGGAACTCCCAATTTTTTTCATATTTAGATAGATTATGGGTCGGAGATATGATTTCATGTGTCATTTGACCCTCAATTAACTCATGACGTCATCATAATGGCCTCCGAACTCAAAATTTAAATTTTGATAGTATGACGTTTGCATATTTTTGGACAATTGATTGTATCTCTGTAAATATTGATTTTTTTTCTTGCAAATTTTGATATGTTCTAGCTGATATAATTTTCTACAAATGCAGTGTCCACAATTTTCCAGTTTGACAAAGGTATCATGTCGTATTTTTGCGATTAAAGGAGGCATGTCAATTTTTCACATTTTGCGTGTATTGTCTAAGGCACATGACTATTTCTCAAAACTGGATTCTACATTTCCCTCTTTCGCGAGCAATATCTCCGTTGTTTTAGCTTTGTTTTTGCTGAGCTTCGGGTATGTTGTAGCTGAGACAAAAGGCTATCTCCAGTGTTCACTTTTTTTTTTCGATCATATGCCGGGATCATGCTCATATTTCACTTGCAATGTAGGACTTCAGAATTCCATTTCCCGTTTACGTGTTATCGCTACGGGAGATGTTTTGGTATATCAGTAACGCACTTGACTTCCAACCTCGAGATCCCTGGTTCGAGTCCGGGTGTCTCCAACAATTTTTTTCTTAACTTTTTTTCCTTTTGACCTTTCACTGTACCATCTCCTTTGATTATTTAAACACGTAGAATCGCAAATAATGTCATAAACAACCCTTTATACTTTATTATTACCCTATTATCACTTAATCCATTACTTTTTGCGTGTAATCCCTATGGGAGATGACTTTTTCTCAAATCTGGATTCTACATTCCTGTCTTTTGCGAGCAATATCGCCGTTAGGTCTGCTTGGATTTTGTTGATTTTTGAGTATGTTGTAGCTGAGACTATATGCTATCTAAAGCAGTCCTTATTTTTTCAATAAGATGTCAGGATCGCACTCATGATCATGATCATGATCATTATCATCATGATCATCATTATCATAATGATGATAATCATTTATCAATTACATTTTCATTTCTTTGAATGAGATAAAATCGTCAAAAGGTGTTCTTCATGATGTAAATTAGAGTCAAATGTGTAACTGGTTACTGCACAGGGTCAAAGGTCATATATTGTTTCAATCTATCTTCCCTAGATCCATCATGATCAAGGAGACACAATTTAATCTTGACATATGGATAGATCATAATGGGAGAAGCATATAAATGGGAGAAGCATTTTACAAAATAATATATCGTGTAATGCATTATTCGTTATGTAAACCATTATCATACGTATCACCTAATTCGTCTAAGTGACGAATTAAAGTCTAGTTATATCGTATGATTTTTACTCTGTAAATAGAACAATTGTATCTCTTCACTACATGTTCCATGATATTATCTTAATCATGTCAATACAAACAAGTAATAATATACAATTTAAGGGTCGACTTGCGATAGATAACGGATCAGTAAAAGTTCTTTACAGCACAAGTCGGAGTCTGGTTTAATCAGTTTCTTAAAGCTTCTTTTCGTTGCTTTATTTCAGGCGGAAGTAGTCCTACTAAAGTCCTTACAAGACCTAGCCCGTTGACTTCATCAACAGAGTCACTGTCACGGGAACATGCCTACCAAGTCACACCTGATTTGATAACAGAGACAGGAGTCATTGGTAAGGAGCTGAAAGGTAAAGTCGTGTTCTGGGCTCTGTAACAACAAAAAGTAAATTGTATCTCCAAAATTTTAATCTTATATCCTCAGTCAATCGTAAATTTAAGATAAATATTTGCTGACATTTAATTTTACGTTAAAGATAGTAATAACATCCTAATTAGTGGGTAGAGTACCTAAAACAGTCGCTAGAACTTAAAAGGGGTAATAGTATTTAAAGTCCTTTAGAAGCGCATATATAATGGTGATAATACGCTTATTTCATTAACATGCTCTACGGAAATTTGAAAGATGTAATTGAATTACGTCATATCATCTTTTGTTCGTTTTGTTTTAAACTTTCTCATCATCGACAGAGTCCATCCATTCTTTAGAGTCTGCAGCCGAGGGGAAAATGGGAGCCCCACCAGCAATTTTGGCAAACATTGTCCGAGAACTCGTGCCAGTGCTTTCAACAGATCGGAATATGCACCAGCGTTCTGGGAACGTCTATATCAACGTCCAAGGGATGGTCATCAACAATCCCCAAGGGAATAATCCTCAAGGAAATACTGTTGCCCATGCTCCTGTTGCAATTGCTTCAATAGTACCTCCTATGCTACAGCATGAGCTGCGTTGCCGGTTGAACAGAGAAAGCCCAGTTTTTGATGACTGGAGGGGTCTTGCCAGTGAGCTGGGACTTGGAGACTACATACAACATCTGGAGCAGTGCAAGAATCCGACTGAAGAACTACTCGTTCTTGCAGAGAGTCAAAAGAAGATTCAGAACCTTGGGGACTTGTGTAAGGCGTTCGAACGCATGAATCGTGGGGATTGCCAAGAGCTCTGCGAGAACTATGCGTTTGAGAGAACAAAGTCAGCTGATCCTCGGAAGGATCAAATGGAATATGATGACACTGATATCAGTGATTAGGGAACAGGCTCAATGTGTTCCACATCACCCTTTAATCGAGGGTCTATGGCTCGTTATTCAGACAACCTGTGAACATAGCATTATATGGTTGTTGTAATCCACCAACTGCCTGTCATTTGGTTTAAAAAACCACAAGCATTAGATTTGCTCGAAAAATATAAAGTTAAGAAAATGTGTACTCTAAGGTTCGTATTCTCCTGATCATTTAAGCCATATCTAGGCGGAAATATCATGTTTAAAATAAAACTTAGATCTCAGACCAATTTCCTTTTTGAACCACTGTTTTGACAAAAGTCCAAATCCAGCGTCGGGTTAAAATATTAGAACGATTCAGGCCTATAAAATTGACCAAACATTGGTTAAAGAGGAAATATGCACGTTTGTTGGGTATATTACTTCCCAGTATTGCGTAAACCTTATTCAATTTTGAGTACAATTACCTAGTATTGTGTACACTTTTACCCTCTTATATGCTACGCTTCATCAAGATTTTACAGGAACGAGGAATTGAGATTTACTCTTGGCATATTCATCGGTTTTAAGAAAGCAATTTTGCCATATTAATGTGAATGAAGGATTGAACAACACATGGAAAATTGTAAAAATAGGTATAAAGGGTAAACTGAACATAGCTGGAGAAAAAAAATTCGAGCGGTTGATGTTACCACTTATGATAGAAATCTGCCATGGAATAGTCATATTCGTTATGTAAATCAGTGTATCAGGATTGCGACATTTTGTTCCTAGGCGTACTTTGAGAGTATCCATTATCATATAAAACGTGGATAAAACCCATAGGTGTGGTGAAGCAACATAAGGTTAGCATAATAAGAAGCATATTGTATTCACAGAAAATAGCAGTTCGTGCTTTTTTCATTTAGAGAGTGAATTACTCATACAGCTCAACTACTTTCATGTTTGATCTGTTTAATAAAAAGTTTGTCTCATATGTTGATATATAGTGTATAGAGTATATATAGAGTAAAGTTACTCCACAAGGCAAACAGAAGGTTAACAATTACGTCTGCCAAAATGTAGAACGACACATGGTCGATTTCCATTGTCTCTTGTGGTTAGTTACTTGATTAATGTCAGATTAAGTTACAACACATTTGTTGAACAAATCATGAATAAAAAATCCATGCAAATAGTCTGTATGTGTACAACAATTATATTTAGTATTTTGTAAGACATTGTTAAAGTTATATATTTTTATAGTATTGATTGCAATAGTACATTAATTTCTTTGTTTGTGTTTTGTTTTATGAAAGTTACTTGTACAAAATACATTGTTGAGCTGTGCATAAGGCGTTAGGGTCAACTAGCACATATGCTTTTATCCGCCCATTTTTACCAACCAATATTTTCTCTTCTTGTACATATAAATATGTTTGAAATAAATGGTACTTATTTACTGTTCGTAAATAAATCTATCAAATACACAAATCTAATAAAAATAATAAAATTGGCAAGATTATAACCAGAAAAAAAGATGTACATGTATATGGAAGTGAATTAACATCAACTCAAATCACATGAAATTAAATGAATTCAACATTTGAAAGTATATAGAAGGAACCCCAGGTGTTAAATTTAATATCTTGTTTAAGATAATGAAAACAATGAGCTCCTGTGGCCATGAGCAAGGCAAGACCAGTGATTTTTATTGCCTTTCATATGGAGTATCCTTTTTTAATGTCATTAAAAAACAAAATATATATATGAGAGAGACAAATTCTTTATAAAAAGAAAGGAAGGAAGAAATCTGCCAAATTAAAGGGGATCCCTCATAAACAAACTGAACATTATTACGTTTTGCGTACTGACATCCTTCTCATTCAAACGTTTATTACAAAGGGGTTCGTCTTTTATGTTACCTTTATTCGACGTTTATTCTTCTTCATACTTATCAAACTGTTGATGTATACTTTATGTACATATATATTTTTAATTGCATTGGATTAATTGAACTTTTATGTATATCATGATGATATTCGTTATAGATAGGTATGATAGGCGCTCCTTTGTTATAAAGTTCATCAATTTTGTGTGAAAGCAAACAAATAAGAAACTCATAATTGCAAATGTATAAATAAATCGGTCAAAAAATAAAGCAGTTATGATTGTTTGAAAAATGATATCTCTATATGCGAATCTCAAATTGGCAATTGGGTCAATGGATTGTGATGTATTCGTGGACAATTCTTTCGTTTGTTGTGTACAAAAAGATCAGTATTGTCTGTTTTTTCTCCTAGTGCCTTCTTCCATGGGGCACTCCTACATACAATGTATTATGGATAGCATATAATATTATATATTTTAAATGATATGTGTTTTTATTTGTGTTTGAAATAAATTGAATCGAATTAAATTGAATCTAAAGTGAAAATTTCAGTTTGAAAAGAAATGACATATTTGCACACCCAATGACGTTAGAATACCAGTCATTCAAAAAGGGCATTGACTGGAAAGCGGTCTTATTCTCTTTCTGCCAAAATTATTTGTGTATGAAACCCGTGACTGATGAAGCATTGAGAGCTCTACAGAGTGAGTCAGAAAATATGTCCCACTTTTTAAAAGTTGTACTGTTTGAAGTATGTATATTTAATCATGGGTTTCATGATATGTCTTGATAGAGTTATCCTCCTAGTACATTTAGGTACCATTTTCATTTGAGTCTCTGCATGCATGACTGAACATCAGACAATCTTTACAAGACTGCCAGATCTCACTTGCGCCAAGTTACTGGGCAAGGAATAAAACAGTGCGTTGAACAAAGACAGTCAGACAGACGCAGACACACACACACACACACACACACGCACACACACATGTATGCATACACACGAACACACGCACACACAGCACACACCGTGACAATTGTTTCATAATTTCCCCTTTTCTGATTGAGCAATGATTTTTATCAAGATCGCGGAATGTTTAAGTGGCATAGCCCTGACAATATTTCCCTTTAGTACAAATTCACTACCACCATCATGTCATCATCATTGTCATCATCTTAATCTTCATCATCATCATCATCATGAAGCACAACATCCGCCAATACGCACTAAGAGGACAGCAGCCACTCAACTTTTCGTACGAGAAGAAGAATTCCCGACAAAAAGTAACAGTTTGGGTGGGCCTTGTCTGTCTGGCATTCTGTGGTCAAAACACTATTTTATTCCCCACCTAGCTACTTGGCGAGTGAGATTTGGCAGTCTTGTAAAGAATATCTGATGTTCAGTCATGCATGCAGAGATTCAAGACATATCATGAAATCCACGATTAAATATTCATACTTCACACAATACAACTTTTAAAAAGTGGGACTTTTTTTCTGACTCACTCTGTAGAGCTCTCAATGCTTCATCAGTCACGGGCTTCATACACAAATAATTTTGGCAGAAAGAGAATAAATTGCTGAGATTATTACATGTATCATCCGTGTGTGTATTTGACAACAAAGTGAACGCTAATCAGTATACGCTCTTAGAATTAAATTGCATGTAGGTAGCTGCTGGTTGTTTTAGAGAATTACCCAATTCTTGGCAATGATTCTAAAAATTTAGCGCCACAGGGTTTTGAACATTCTAGGGGCGATATATATTTCATTCCATAAGGCAATACATGTTGGGGTGATATTCTGAAAACTTCTGATTTTCGGAATACTGAATTAAAGGTATAGTAAGGGTATTTCAACCCACAGATGAACCCACAACTTTTAGCAACGACTTTCTCGGAATCAGTAATCCAGTTTGTACATACAATTTGACATCGACAAACCTAGATTACTTTGTATAAAAGTTAAATATCTGAGGATGTTTGAGGTGATTTGAACCATGGGCTATTTACGAACTGGTCTACAAATGATTATACTCAGACCAATTTAATTGTTGATCTTTATGTGTGACCAATCCTTTCTCAACTTATATCTCAACAATATAAATTAAACCGATATCAGACTACTCGTCATAATAACATATCCTCCTATTATAATTATCTCATTTCCCCTACCCGTATCATCCAAATCTCTTTTCAAATTCAGGCAAAAACTCTAGCCTTTGTAACACCTTTCCTCGTACTTGTAGATATACATTTGTATGTATCATAATTTCTAAATCCTGTTGAATATCTTTCATCGGAATGTATCTCTCAAATTGTTCTAACATTAAAGAAAGAACCTTCAAATCTAAATGTGAATTAATCAACACAAGAACACCTTTACTGTGTAAAGTACCATGACTTAAATGACAAACTTCATATATTTCTTGCAACATAACATCTGCATATTTATCTTTGCACTCTTTTGAAATCTTTTGTTTTTTTCCCTGATTCCTTTTTTCTTTAAGGAAAGAAAAGTACAGAAAGAATAGATTGTTAAAATCCATCACTATAACAATAATAAAATCGGAACACTTGTCTTTGGAGGATAGTGACATCACAATCACGAACCATAATATTGTCTGCTGAATGGAACAAAAATTAAAGGTGATATTTAAGTATTTATAGTCCACCGAAAAAGATCCGTAAAGTAATATAGAAGTGAACCTTATCTTGTAATACGTACTATGACAAATCAAATACAAAGACATCCACACCCAGACCAGACAAGACAACCGATAACACTATCCACGGAGGCCAAAAAAAAGTCAGTTTGGACTTGTTGGAGTTAGTACGTAGTCGGTTTGCCAGTGTGACTGAGGTAATAATCATACCTCCAAACCGACTTGAAATTGTTTGTTTGTTTGTTTGTTTTTATTTCCGAAATCCATATATACATACAAGTTTAAAAAACAAACATATAAAACACATTTCAAACGATAAGAAAGTAATTAAATGTGTTAAGTATAGACAAACGGTTGGATAGCCCATTTCAGAACCATTTTCAAAATGGTCCTGTTCTTCCATGGGGTCCAAAAGCAAAAATCATATTAATTTACATACAATATCAATTTTTATAAAAGTCATAGTAATTTACCAATACACTACCCCCCCCCCCCCCAATCGATCCCCCTAAACTCACCCCGCCCCCGCCACCCTCTCGATACTGCCAACCCCTCCCGCTACCCCTTCCCAAGTCCTCCAGTGTATATTATCGACCGATTCTTAGCGATGTTATAGTGTGTCCGGTTTTTTGTTGGTCTGGCATCTTCTGTCTGTTGAGCAACCCGTGAATCGAAATTTCTCTATTTCATTTTAAGAGCTCATTTCTAAAAACGAGGATGTTCGTCCATCTTTTTTATTAAACAAAATTTTGAGAATGTATTCAAAATGAGAATAATGAAAGTCATACATTTTGAGCAAAGGGTTCGAGTATGAAGTGAATATGTGCATGGAGAGAGACGAATGATTAACACTTTTTTTAGCACCTTATAATGCTTAGTTGATGGAGATACTGACATATTTGGTTTATATCCTGCCAATTCTAGATAAATGAAGCGAGTATTCTACATCAACATGTTACATCATTACACATGTAGCGTGTTAAAGAAAAGCGATCTTAAAGATCGAATACTTTATCATTCTCTGTCCCTTTAGTCTTTCTCTCTTTTTCCTATTTTCTCTCATATTTCTTAGTAATCGATGTGTGCGTGTGTGTGTGTGGGTGCGTGTGTGGGTGTGAATGTGTATGCGTGTGTGCGTGTGTGCGTATGTGATGGATTAAGAGGGGGCACGTCATCCAAGCACTGGTTATGAATGAGGCGTAATACAATATTGATTCGCCATGTTCATTTTCTTTCGCGCAAATCTGAAACCAGGTATATTTCAGGCCCAACAAATACGTGAAAATGGCAAGGCAATAGGACTGCATTCTCGCAATACCCAGTACAGTTATGTAGTCAGACTTCTGAAGCCGAATATGGATTTGAATGCAAAGTCCAATTTACAGAATGCTTTCATACAATCACGCTTGAGTGTTCCTTCAGAATAGACCAAATATCATCGGTACTACAGGGAACAGGCTAATTTACACAGTAGTTCAATGTTACATTACAATAAGAAACATGGTGTTTGGAGAGCACGGTGATATATTATCATCAAGAGAAAAACGTTGTGGGTGTGAATTGCGTTAAACATGGCGCTGTTTTCAGCAGCAGCAAAAGGAGACTTCCTGAAGATACAATCATTAATCGACTCGGAGGACAAGTCAGAGGATTCGGGAAGAGTTGATGTAAACTGCTCGGATGCGTCAGGCAAGACGGCTCTCCACATTGCTTCGGAAAATGGACATTTGCAAACGGTTAAATGCCTTATCCATCATGGAGCAAAAGTGAATGTGGTGGATGCTAACCTACAGACATCAGTTCACTTATGCTCAAAGGAAGGCCATCTTCATGTGGTAGAGCTGTTAGTGAACGAAGGAGCAGATATTGATTTTGGTGACAACATCGGGGTAACAGCTCTTCACATAGCATCATTCAAGGGCCATCTTGATATTGTCAAATACCTTGTTAGGAAAGGGGCACAGCTTGACAAATGTGACAAAAAAGGCAGGACACCCTTGTCTTGTGCTTCCCAAAAAGGCCATCTCCAAGTCGTGGAGTTTATTGTAAACGAAAGAGCAGGCATTGGAATTGATGATAAAGAAGGGTTTACAGCTCTTTACATTGCGTCCTTCAAGGGCCATCTTGATATTGTCAAATACCTTGTTAGGAAAGGGGCACAGCTTGACAAATGTGACAAAAACGACAGGACACCCTTGTGTTGTGCTTCCCAAAAAGGCCATCTTGAAGTCGTCGAGTTTATTGTGGACGAAGGAGCAGACTTTGAAATAAGTGATAAAGACGGGTTTACAGCTCTTCACATAGCATCATTCAATGGTCATCTTGATATTGTCAAATACCTTGTTAGTAAAGGGGCAGACCTGGGAAGACCTGGTAATGATTACTTGACACCTCTACACCTTGCTTTAGACGGTGGCCATCTTGACATTGCAGATTACCTTTTGACAGAAGGAGCCAACATTAACACATGTGGTAAAGGTGGATATTCAGCTCTACATAATGCATCACAAACTGGTGATATTGATGTAGTGAAATATCTAACCAGTCAAGGAGCAGAGCTGGATAGGAGCACTGACGATGGTTGGACCGCACTTACTTTGGCTTCATTTGGCGGACGCCTTGACATTGTCAAATACCTTGTTAGTAAAGGGGCTCAGCTTGACAAATGTGACAAAACCGACAGGACCCCCTTGTATTGTGCTTCTCAAGAAGGCCATTTTGAAGTCGTCCAGTATATCGTGAACGAGGGAGCAGACATTGAAATTGGTGATAAAGATGGGTATACAGCTCTTCACATTGCATCCTTCAAGGGTCATTTTGATATTGTCAAATACCTCGTTAGTAAAGGGGCAGACATGTGGAGACTTACTGATGATTGCTGGACACCTTCACGTCTTGCTTTTAGTGGCGGCCATTTAGGTATACATGACTTTCTTTTAAATATAGAAGCAACAAAGATCGTTAAGCCATTTATTGGGTCTGAAGAGGACCACTATGACTACCTTCGCAGTACGTTCGGTAGTAAGGCTCTCCCTAGCTTAATGCCCCGCCCATACTCCCAACCATACGATCCATATCTTACCAGTCCACGACACAACTCTAACTCCCCGAGGGAGAGCATCAAAGAAGAGACAAAGATTATTAGTCTCGACGAGTACAGCATCAAGGTTCCACTTTCACCAGATGATGTGGACAGAGCCAAAAATATCACAGCAGAAGCATTGACCACCATTCCACCTGACTTAAAGCTGGAAAAAGACGAAGTTATCATCTCAGTTGGGCTCAAGCTATCCCCTCCTGGTCTTCAGTTCAACACTCCGGTGGAAGTCACGATCTCGCATAGCGCTATTTTCACTAACCCAGACAAGGCAGACATTGTGCTATACACCCGAAGGACTGGTAAGATCTTTCTTTTACTATAGATCCCATAATTCCTTTACCTTCCGTTCCTCTTTTTTCCCTCTCTTCGTCTAATCTTCTTTAATTCGCTCTTAGATATATTTTGAATTGAAGGCTTATCGATATACACAAGATAAGCTTATGCTCAAAGTTGCCCTCTTCTTTGTATCAAAATTGTTGAGATGTGGTGGTCTTGTGGATACGTCACCAGACTGCAGATCACAAAATTCACGGTTCACAGCACCACTGTCTCAGACAAGACATAAATCTGAATTTGACACTCTCCACGAATGTGTTAATATGGTTACCCGGCAAAGGTACGTTCCCATCATCATGCCATATTTTATTATGTTCATTACATCGTGATAGAACCTTGAACGCATCGAGACATGCGTAGATCAAGAATGTTGCACAGAGCTTGCGTAGTGCTGCATACAACTTGCATAGCTGCTGCACACAAATAGCACAGCCGGGCGCGATGAAGACCAACAAAAGAGATTATATTTATTATTGGACTGAAGCAAATTTCAATGAAAAACTTTGCGCACAGTGCAGTCTCTGTAACAGGTCCATATCTACCACTGAGTATTGTCGGTAATGAAGCTTTGACCTGAACTTTCAAAGTGCAAGAGGTATCGCGATGAAATGATCTAGTATACATTTCTCATTGTATTCAAAAATATTGGCGTTGACTGATTAAATTTAAGTGTATTCAATCAGTTAATGTTCTTTGGTCAGACAAATGAAAAGCGGAAGGGAAAGGGGAAATATGTTGTAGCAGTGCAGAGAGCCCCTGACTGCCACGACAAACACATAGCAATTATGACAGAGATCTTCACACAAAATTAATCCTTCCTATACTATCCTTGGTATCATAATGAACTCACTTCAATGTTGATGTTCCTCTCAGGATGTTCTAATTCACTGAGTTTTATTTGATAATCTTCTATTAGAATAGAAATTCGCTTAATAAATAAAAATAAAACTGTTTCAGTCTTTGAGTTTAAATGACTTATAAGTCGCACAGTTCATACAGCCGCCATTTTCAAGATTCTTGTGGAAAGATCGAAGGGAATTATGAGAATGATTAAATGCATACAAATTTTAATAGTCAATCACCAAAAAGTAATTGACATTTGTTATGTCATTGATCATGAGTAAACAATGACCCTACAACAAGGCTCCCCAATAAACCCGCAAATCTTGCAGACAAATACTTGTTTTCTTTATTTGTGAAAGTAAATCCCAGAGTATGACATTTCACTGCGTAACAAAATTAACACGGTTCCCTCTCTTTTGTTGTTGTTGTTGACAGAGTCTGATGAATTTTCAAGGATAGTTCTTGCTTCTGACAAAGCTGCTCGGTGTGTAGTCGCAAAGAATCGCCTTACTCTGTACTTAGACCATGTCTCGGAATGGTGGATTATCTCCCTAATCAGGAGATACTTCATCGGTAAACGGCTCATCTGTACGCCATACGTTCCCCTGTCTACCTCCAGAGACGTCACGAACTACATCTTTCTCGATATTAAAGACGACTTCTGTGGCATGAAAGAGGTAGATTTATCATGAATTAACAGTTCGGTATAATCTTAGCTGAAAAAGAATTTGAGTTAAATAAATGTTAAAATGGGCAGGAAATCCTTAAGTAAGTCCATGCAACTTATATTACATGTCTATGTTCATTAACTTCATTGAAATAACTTTCTGTTTGTGTCTCCGATCTTCCAGTGATTACGATATGTCAATACTTTTTTGTGCAACGTTTTCTGAGTAGAGGGGTTCGTGGACGGACGGTGGGGGCAGGTGGGCAGAGGGGGGGGGGGAATACGTGGTCACAACAAATGTAAAACAAATCACAGATATAATATTCAAACCCGATAAACATTTCGCATCTTGAAGTAAACAATCATAAATGATTCACCCATCATTGCCGCCAGAGGGTATATGGGTACCTTGCAATTGCTGCAGTACATTGCAGTGCCCTCTTGAAGAACAGCATTATTGCAATAATTGCAACTATTTGTTATTGTTATTACTATTATTGTCATCATCATTGTGTCAATATGGATCCATATATATTCAACCATTTGCAGGATACCATACAAGACTACAAGGTAGCCTTTCCTGGTGAGCAGTACTGTGTATATTGGGGACAAGGACCCCTATTTGTCAGACATCTGGAAAACGAAGACGAAGTGTCAACACAGGTAAGAATCTCAATATATTTGATGCTGTAGTTTCCCCCGAAGTTAAATTAGCCTGACAAACAAATCGTCCGTTTCTTATTCGGTAGAGCCTAATATATATTTTTTTATCCTGGGGCCTCACAGTTACGAGGCCATTGCTTTGCCAATGAATCATGAATGTACACAGCGAGGGTTAGGTTAGGGGGCAGCCCCCACAAATAAAAACAAAACAAAGAAAATGCAATAAATTATCAATAATTCATTGAATTTCCCCCGGTCCCCAACATAAAAAATTCCTCTGTACGGCCATGAATTATGGTTCAAGGCATGGCCACATGGGATCTTTTTCCGCTGAGGACCGGGGGGAAATGCTATGGATAATTGATAATTTCGTAGGGTGTTAATTGATGGTTATCTCTGATTTCTTTAGGAACTTGAAGAATGTGCTTTCTTCCACATGACGACCCATCGGATGCCGTTCTCTCTTCAGCCACGTGAAGTATCTGAAGTTCCCGTCATATTCATCTTGAAGCAAAAAATCACGAAGCGTATCGCCTTCAAAGTACTGTACAACGGTAATATCAAGGGCACGAATTCCTTTGGGGAGGGGTGGCTTAAAGAACACTGGCAGAGAAAAGCGTATTCTTGTGCAGTTTCAGGAATGGTTATTTGCCTGAGCTTCGGGCAAGCTGTGACAAAACATCAAATTTAACACAAACATATTATCCACAAACATTTTATTTAGGCGTTTTAAATAAGTTGTGTAAGAAAGACGTGAGATTTTACGAATTCAAAAAACATTTTTATTGATACTGAACAAAACAGCTCCTGAAAAAAAAAGAACTCTTTACCAGTTTTGTCGATCCTGGTATCATGTACATTGGTTTTTACGTGCAATGCTATACAGTTCATTTGGTGTAGCAAAAGCACCATGGCAAGTGACTCCAAGTTGGAATAATTATCATTTTAGGCTAATCGGTTCTCATCACGTTGAAATCATGTATTCACAATTCAGATGTGCCGCATAAGAATCCAATTGCCCAATCAACTCCGACAGGAACTGCATCGTCTAAAGGCAAAGCTGAACCAACCGAGGTTGGACCGGGAACATCCAAATGTAAGATTTAAAAAATATATACTAATAGTATTTTTCCTTTTGATATGCAGGGCATCGTTTCATGAAACCTAAATGGCTACAAGTGAAAAATGTAGTGTACGAAATGAACACGCTTTAAATAGGATGTCTGCAAACTTGTTGCATATGAAAAAATGTCCTTATTTTTTGAAAATTTGAACAAAATCGAAACAACAAACGTTGTGAGGAGGCTTTTAATCTTCCGATTTACTCTCATGAGTGCAAGATGAAAACATGTTTTGTATTTGTGCTATTCTGATTTAAATGACTATTGCATTTTCAGCATCTCAGCTCTCCGAAGAGCAGACAAGAAGCAAGCATCATGATCTTGAAACGAAAGGTCCAACATCAACTGAGCCTGCAGATACAAAGGGTAAGACTATGGCCTATCAGAAGCGGTTCTGGAGGAATACATGTACTAGTATGATGTTGTTTTTTTATCGGGGGGAAGCAGGGGTTGGGGCCTTCTAGCAAGCTTTTATTTTTTTACATGTGCTTCTTTTTGGGGGGAAGGAGGGGGGGGGGGACTGTAGAACCGCTACTGCGGCCTATATTCTAGCAATTAGCCTTTGTTTTAAATATCCTGTAAAGTATTATTAACGTTTTTGTGAACCGTATAATATTTACTCTTTAAATTGAACAATTTCATCTCTTCGCTACATGTTCCATGATCTTATCTCAATCATGTCAATAAACTAAACTAATACATTATAATTCAAAGGGTCGACTTGCGATAGATAACGGATCAGTCAGAGTTCTTTACAGCACAGGTCGGAGTCTGGTGTAATCATTTTCTAAAACCTTTTTTACGTTGCTTTTTTCAGACGGAAGTAGTCATACTGATGTCTTTACAAGACCTAGGCCGTTGACTCCATCATCGAAAGAGTCACCGCCTTGTGAACATGCCTACCAAGTCACACATGCCTACCACGTAACAGAGCCAGGAGCAATTGGTAAGGAGCTGAAAGATAAAGTCGTGTTCAGGGGTGGTATTCTGAACATTGTTGTAAGTTTTGTGTTATCTTTTGTTGTACCTTCCAGAGATAACACAGCGCTAATATTGTTGTAAGTTGGTATTCTGAACATCATTTTATCCCTGTGTTATCTCTTGAAGGACCGCCTCTATCTTATATTTGACCATTGATGACACGCCCATTTTTATGGACCCTACCAATCAAAATCTATTTTATATAAGCATGATAAGTAGGTCAACCAATAGGAATACTTTATGCCATATCTGCAGATGCGCCTAGCGCATACTAATCTTGGGCGTAATTAGTTATTTGAGCACTTATTACGCGCGTCATCACTATGCGCTGTTGAATGTGCATCATGAAGACAAATCACGCTTTCACTATATTGGTTAAGATGAGAGCATTAAAATCGTCATATCCTAGCATGTAATATCTTAGAAAGTTCTCATCTGTGACGTTTCCGGTCAACACACAATCTTCTTCTAACTCGTCTATTGGCACGAAGTTGGTTCTCGGCAAAAAATATTGCCGCCATTATATCACCACGAAAGATACAACAACCCCCTACCTGGGGCGGTATTCTGAACCCTGTGTTATCTCTAATATTGTTGTATCTTTGAAGATAAGATAAAGTTGGTATTCTGAACATTGTTGTAACTTTTGTGTTATCTTTTGTTGTATCTTTTCTCTCATCTTATTGGCCGCGCCTGCGCTCATACTTTGGTGCGCTTGTAATTGTGCGTATTATTAATAAAGTGGCATTTAATTCCCATTTGCATATGCGCACGGGAGATAATATGTCGAGATAATTGGTATTCTGAAATTTTATCTTATCTTATCTTGCATGTTATTTACAACAATATTTACAACAGGTAGGGGGTTGTTGTATCTTTCGTGGTGATATAATGGCGGCAATATTTTTTGCCCAGAACCAACTTCGTGCCAATAGACGAGTTAGAAGAAGATTGTGTGTTGACCGGAAACATCACAGATGAGAACTTTCTAAGATATTACATGCTAGGATAGGACTATTTTAATGCTCTCATCTTAACCAATATAGTGAAAGCGTGATTTGTCTTCATGATCCACATTCAACAGCGCATAATGATGACGCGCGTAATAAGTGCTCAAATAACTAATTACGCCCAAGATTAGTATGCGCTAGGCGCATCTTCAGATATGGCATAAAGTATTCCTATTGGTTGATCTACTTATCATGCTTATATAAAATAGATTTTGATTGGTAGGGTCCATAAAAATGGGCGTGTCATCAATGGTCAAAGATAAGATAGAGGCGGTCCTTCAAGAGATAACACAGGGATAAAACAATGTTCAGAATACCAACTTACAACAATATTAGCGCTGTGTTATCTCTGGAAGATACAACAAAAGATAACACAAAACTTACAACAATGTTCAGAATACCACCCCTGTTGTAAATATTGTTGTAAATACCATGCAAGATAAGATAAGATAAAAGATACAACAACTTTCAGAATACCAATTATCTCGACATTATTATCTCCCGTGCGCATATGCAAATGAGGATTAAATGCCACTTTATTAATAATACGCATAATTACAAGCGCACCAAAGTATGAGCGCATGCGCGGCCAATAAGATGAGAGAAAAGATGCAACAAAAGATAACACAAAAGTTACAACAATGTTCAGAATACCAAATTTATCTTATCTTTAAAGAAACAACAATATTAGAGATAACACAGGGTTCAGAATACCGTCAATTGTACCTCCCTAAAATTAATTTCATCTCCTCAATCTATTGTAAATTTTAGATTAATAGATACTGACATTTAATTTTATGTTACAAATAGTAATGAACGAAATCCTTTGACAAAACAGTAATCTATCTATGCTACACTCGACCCATGTGTAATAAGTGGGTATAGGCTCGCTGAAATAGTTGCTGGAACTTAACCGGGTTGATCATATATTAAGTACTTTGGAAGCACATATAGTTGTGATATACCCTTATTTCCTTTACACTCTCTTCGGAAATTTGAACGACGTTATTGATTTACGACATCATCTTTTTGTTCGAATTTGTTTTAAGCTCCGACATCATCGACAGAGCCCTTCGATTCATTAGATTCTGCAGCAGAAGAGGCAATGGGAGTCTTAGCCCCACAAGCATTTGCGGCAAACGTTGTCCAAGAATTGGTTCCAGGACCTTTAGCAGATCGAAATATGCACCAGCGTCCTGGAAACGTCTATATCAACGTCAACAATATCAAAGTCATCAACAATTCCCAAG